TAAAGAAAACAGTTTTACAAACTTTGCGAGCCCCTCGACCGTGGGTGCCCTTCCCCTGAATTTATAACTTTACTCAGAAAAAGCTTATACGGCATGTATCTATCGATAACAATGGTAAATATTAGTTCATTGCCATTGTCGGATCAGATGTCAGGGTATAATGAAAATTCCGCCAATTTCGAGCGACAAATCTTGTGGTGCGTTTACGAAAATCCGTATTTAATTGTGTCGATGCTGTTAGAGGATCATTCATCTGCCATTTGTAACTCGTAAGCTATAAGCCTATAACTAAAGATGTCATGTCTACATGGACTATAAATTAAGGTTGAGCCCTCAAAACTATCAGCTATCAAAACTAAAGCCAAAGACATACTACAAGATAACTCGTAATAAATAAAAGACTATAAAATTTAAGACTATGGGCGGTGAAAGAGGGAAGATTTACAATTGAACCGTTTGAGACAGAGAAGTGTCTATAATACTGATAAAAATTATTATCTTTTCTGTACTTCCTGAAACAATTCAATTGTTTGTATGCTTATGTTATGAACCTGGTACGTCATTTCACACACCAAGACATAAAACATCATGAAAAGCTATAGACATGCAATAAAATAGCAAATTTATATTTTGATTACGCAATGCTCATAATGCGCAAATATTCGGACATTACCCATCTTTTGAAAACCCATGCATTCAGTGCTTTAACTAACGTCGCTTTACTATTGCCTTATTTCTGCACTTATAAACACACGCAAAAATAGATTCTAGCCGCTTGCAATAACAGTAGGCTGTGAAATTCTTACCCATTGGGAAGCAACTGACATTGACCAAAAGAAATGAGGCAAAATACACAGTGCAAACAAAACTGTAATAGCCTTAATTTTTCCATTCCTAGAGATGATTCTTCGACAGCAGCTAGATGAAAATACTGGTGATAATTTCTGTGATTGTAAGTAATAAACATTCGCAATTCGCCAACGGTGTCTTTTCATTGGTCGAATTTCATGTTAAATGATTACCGATTGTTTTTAATTCAATTGCATTCCATTCATAGTTTGCATTCTGCCCTGAAATATTAGAAAGTAAAAATCGACAAGAAATTACTATCACGAAACGTATAAAATGGAAACAAGTTTCATGGATAAATTACCATTAAGACGTTCGATTTAAAACAGTTCTAAAATAGTCCTTATATGACATGCTGCGCTATGCTTTCCAAACAGGAACTGTTCCCGACTTCCTTTTCAGGACTAGCTTCTACCCTGACAGCTGAACACGATCACACAACTAAAAGCGCGTGGAATGTTATCACCTAAAACAGTGATATAGAGCATGATCAATTTGATTGAGAGGAATGAATATCCACGTATTGAATTCTTGCAAGGTTACGAAAAAAGTAACCAGGAAGATGAACCATTCAAGCAAACGAAAGATTTAAAAGATTTAATTATGATGCACACAAGTGCATATGATCTACTTTAAATAAATGGATCTGGCCACGATAGTTCAGTCTTTCAGTATTATAATTACATGCGTGTAATTATTAACGACAAAACTATACAACTAGGGTGTCCCATGGTTTTCTGCGCCGGTCTTGAAGGGTTTTCTTATTTTGCTTTATCCAGTATACTTTTAGACTTGTCTCACTCGGTTCCGTTTCATATTGATATTTATACATATATTTTTTTTAAAAAAAGGAAACTAAAACCGTGACTGGTATACTTTTTTTACAATTCGCTGTTCGTGACTGTATATATGTGGTATTTGTATACAAGCGTTATATATAGTATAAAAACTGACATTGCCAGAAATTTGAGACAGGTTAGTGCTCGTACGAATACGCCATAACTAATCGGTAAGTCGTTGAATTGGCGAATTGTAGAAAATACACCTGTATATAATTTTCCCATATATACAGTGGTTCACAAAAAGGTTGTCCAGACAAAAAAAAAAATTATATATATATATAAATATGTATATATTATATATATATATATATATATATATTATATATAATATATATTATTATTTATAATATATACTATATATATATATATTTTATACCAGTATAAATGGTAGAAACCATTCCCTTTCGAAATTAACATCAGTCTCCGTGTATGGAAAGTAGACGGAACTAAATTAGATTCCATTACTGGAGATTCTATATAGGAATATCGGTTATATGAAGGTCATCTTAATTAATTCCATGATAATGGCACTGATCTTTCTTACTGAGAATTCTTGCCGTGCTCTTCCCTCTTGAAGTATAGCTCGAGCAACTTGGAGTCACATAAAATTTATGTAAATCAGAGGACTGAAATGTCAACTTAGGGATTGTTTACATGATTCCGCTTTGCCAAGATTCGACGAAGCGTGAGACGAATTGGAGGTATTAAAATGAGGCGAAAATTGAAAATAATAAATTACGGATATTTAAAGCCCGGATTGTTGATTTAAAGCCAACGCAACATTTTCGATTTTACTCATGCCTGTAGTCAAATTCAAACTTACCTCTACGAGATATCTTCTCAATTAAAACTTTAAGAGGCCTTCAAATTGTTTGAAAATCAAGCTGATGCTGCCAATATCTAAATTCGCTATCGTTGGAGGCACGAGATTATAAGCAAATTCTGCCAATTTCTTGTTACTATTCTCGCGGCCGCTGTTGCATGAGCGGAAAAATTATAAGCAAATTGTGTCAACTTAAAAGTAAAAATCTGTCATAAATACAGTCGAGTTTTCTATTAAAATATACAATAATTTCACATTTTCACACCTAATTGTAGCGTTATAGTTTGCATTACACTACTTCCACGAGAAAATTTTCCCGGTCATGCAAGTGCGGGCACTTGGGATATATACGTATCTAATATTTATTCTTAAAAATATGAATTAATGCATGACTTCTGGGACCGGTTGTATCAAGCCTGTTTAGCTTAAACAGTTGATAAGTCAAAATTAAATAAAATGCACTCTTATATATATCAGTCTCATGAATATCAATCTCTCAGTCATGAGTGAACTTGAATATTATGCAGTGAATATGTAGTTGTAAACAGTATCTTTGTATTATATAAGGGTGAATACATTTGGTTCGATATTGTTGAATAAAACGATAGACTTGCTTTCTATTTTGAACTCAACCTCGGTTTAAGCTAAACGGGCTTGATGCAACCGGCTCCTGGACATTAAATGGAATATGGAACTAGTTTGGCTATTTTCTTCTATGACACTAATTTCCAGGCGTTAACACGCAAACACTGTCATATCCTATAAATTTTACTTTTTGCACATTAAGTGGCATATTTACGTCTACCAGTGAAAATCAAAACTTTGACAACCCTGTTGCATGGAAACATGGATAACATGAAGAAACAGGAAGATGAACAAACAGGAAGATGAACAAACAGGTCAGGAAGATAAACCACTCATGCATGCAAAAATGGATCAAATTGAAGTATTCACATAACCATTTGTAGAAATATAAAAGCTTTAATCATTATTAATCATAATCATTGTTAAATTTTTACTAAAAATTTAGTTTTCTCTGTACGTATTTTATAGTAATCGAAATTTTCGAATTTTGATCGGCTATAACAAGCAAGCAATTTTCCTGGCGTTGGATAAACTTCATTAAACGGCGGTTTGGCACTAATTTGGCTTTTTACACTTACACCTAAAAGTGATGCTGTCATATCCTAAAAATTTCACTTGTTGCAAATTAAGTGTCAGATTTAGTTTCATACATCTAGCAGTACGTGGTAAACAAAATTCAGCAATTCTGTTGAAAAAATGCATACTATGAGGAAACAAACCAGGAAGATGAAAAAACAGGAAGATGAACCAATCACGCGGAAAATCGAAACGTCCTTTATTAAACATTGTGTATTTGTAACGTCCTCTCTGCACATATTTTTAGGTTAATCGAATTTTCGAATTTGCTTGGCTATAAAATAACAAACAAGCAAATTTTCGGGCGTCGCGACAGTTTGGATAAACTTCATAGAATCTTAGTCTATTTAGTTTTTGTTATTTGAATTCAATTAAAATTCGAAAGATGCAGGGTGTCAATTATGTAATGTTGTTTACTTTTAGTAGAAAATTTGCTCAGACTTGATAACATCTTTGAAGCGATATCACCTGTTGCGATGGCCTATTGTATCTTAATTTACCTCTATGTAGTTTTTTGTGATCTTAATTTGCTGCGTAGTCCCAAAGTTTTTTTACTATTTCTCCCCAGGTACGTATTGGTTTGGAGATTAAGTTGCCAACCTTATCAAGATTAATTTCGAGTGGAATTATACACACTTCAAATTCAAGCCAGGAACCGTTCACGGAAAAATGAGTCGGCTATCGGTTCTCCGACAGGAATCGGGCCTATGCTTTCGCGATGCTGGTGCAATGCTCTTGCCACTGAGCTACAGAGGTAGCTGACAAGAGCAAGCGTGGTTAATGTGTACATGATGGTAATGCCGGGAATAGGTGAGGGTAAATCACCCCTCACATTATGATTTTTGGCACTGCACTCGACGTAGGTAAATTCTAGAGTGGTAGTAGGTAAATTCTAAACTGACAATTGTATAAAGCTCATGAAGAGAAAGTATAGATGTCGTTGAATGCATGCGAACTCAGCAGCAGCACAAAGGCGCAACATCCAAACGATTTCTTGAGTTGAGCGCGCCAGGAGTTACCTACTTTGAAAGTGATGCATTTCCCGCAGTATGTATGATTGGTCAAAAAAACCTTTATAACTCAGCATTATGACGTAGTTTGTGGATAAAGTATGCTTCTGGAAAACTTTTTTTCTGCTAGCCAGGAGAAAATATTATAATTTTCGGTATAATATATCATTTATAGAACCTCCGCTCAGGGGGTTCGGCAAAATAAACGCAATGATATTTCGTTTATATCATCACTTCGGGAAATATTTCGCCGAATCCCCTTACACTCCGGGTCAATAAATTATAAATAATCGCTTTTTCGATAGATTTTTCCCACCATAAAATATGTGATCATATACATATAATTATACCATACATGCAAGATAGAAAACACGATTACTATATATGTGAGTGCAGATCCATACTAAAAATCTATTAAATAAATTGATATTAAATTATAATGAATCTGACACTAATTGATCAGTTGCAATTTCGGGGGCTCTAAGAAACTTAAAATTCCGACTCTTCTTTTCCGTCATTTTCTTCTCCAATGTAAATGATCCCCTTCATTGGCTGTTCTTCTATGTAATTTTGTATATTTTAAGTATAAAAGTATATTTGCAATGATCTCATCAATTAATAACCATAGATCCGTCCTCTTCCTTCGCAACATCCCCCTCTTCGTTCGGCTCGTCTTCATCTCCTACCAGACCAAAGTCCTCTAAAAGCGCCACGTGAGACATGACTGGGCGGTTGACCGGAAAACCATCCACGTTATCGAAAACATCTTCTGTGCCGGTAAGGTACTTGGGCAGCAGCGATGTTAATGTTTCTAGGTAGTTCTTATATCCAATCGAACGCCACGATTTTAGTGCATCGGCCTGAAGCATTTTCGCGTAGTCCATGCGTTCTAAAAAGCGATCTTTGTTTGTGACTTGCTCGCCTGACGGTTTGTCGATTGGTTGGACGGCGATGTAATCCCTTGGGGGAATATGCTTCAGGTAGGCGTCTTTCAGCTTGTCACCTTCTTCACACAGAGGGGTGAAGACAAATGAGCACACGTGAGGTCTAACCACCACAAGCTTCAGCCGAGTACAATTCGCAAAGGCTATCAATACGAAGTTACATTCAAACACCTCACCAGATTCAAACGAACCGTCCTGGATGCTTTTCACGTACTCCCGAAACGACAGGAGGTTTTCTTTGCTGTTGTCAATCATGTCTTTGTAGCGGGTTGGGTGAGAGATCAATTCGTCCACGAGAGCCTTTCGCAATCTGACAAAAGAAATGTTATTCTTAGGCCTATATGACTTTATATCGATTATACTGCATAATAGAATATCGAAATACCATTACTCTCTCTAGCTGTACCGTGTGATATATTTCATGAAGCTTCCTACCACGTCGTACAAAGTGGTCTTGCGTTTTCTCTCCAAAAAACAAAGGAGTGCACACTATTTTTTAACAACTGGTCAAAAGCAGAAAATGTTGCAGACATTCAATATACTCAAATGAATTTCCGCACAAATAGCAAAATGCAGACTTGAATTATATATATGGGACTTAATGTGATCATATTTGAAAAATCACACAATCATTTATGCAATACTTCAGAAGCCTATTGTATGAAAATGCTGTAAATGTAATCAGCCTCTGGGGGCGTTAGTTGGAAAGGCGTTTAATTTGGAAAACGTTGGATTATTAAACCAAAGTTTAAAAAATTAATACTCTAATACACCTTGTGAATGACTGGACATATCGAACCGGACATATACATACTTCAGCTCAGTTGTTCGATAAAAAAAATTGTTTGCCACTTTGAATTTACTAAGCAAAACGCCTTTCGAACTACCGGCCGGTTTACACTATCATCGTTGGCAGTGAGCTGGTAATGGTATCTATAATTTGTGATTCCATACCTTTTTTCGGCTTCTTCCTTGTCGCCATCATTTATTCCCATAATATGGTCGTACACACGGCTTAACGTATGGATCAAATCGTGACTATCTCCCGTTTCTTTGCTCTGCATGCCCATTTCCCGCAGCATTGTGTCGCAGATATAGTTATCCCGCTCGAACTGTACATCAGATGCGACACTTGTGCCCAGGAGTTGATCGTTTTCGAAATGTTGCTCGATCTTAAGGCTTGCGTATATCTGCAGGCTGGAGTTGACAGTCTGATAGACTGCCTCGCCGTCCGTGCCATTATGCTTCATCAACATTAAACAAAAAATAAAATCTCGAAATCCTGGTCGCTCGCTGAGTACGTGCTTCCTTTCTTTCCACGTGTTCAAATAATCAGACCGAAAATTTCTCGTTTGAATCAGCCAGAACATCGCACGCAAGGTAAGAATGAGGATGAAAGCTGAGAAACTCGAGGTGACAATCATCAAACTGTATAGGAAAGGGGCTGCGGGAATTGTACATGTTGTTGTCTTATACAATGATGCCACGGACGCTTCAAGCTCGCAATCAAACACCAAATCCCAATCAAAGACAACAAGGGCAAAAACATTTCCAGCGATTACCAAACCGCTTCCGAGAAAGAGAATCACTGATTTGATAACGTATACCAGAAAGAATCCGGGATTTGATTCTAATGTTAGTATAAGTCGTTCTACAAGACCAATGATTTGCTGCTTGACTTCGACTTTCAGCACTTTGTAAAGCTTCCCGCCCTTCTGTGTCTCGTTGCTCATCCGTTGTTCCTCGGGGTTTGTGACCACGGCTTGGCCTCCAAAATAGACGGACGAGTTTCGAAGCGCTTTGAAGTCAGCGAAAAGCTGAAACATAAGCTCGAGGAATGAACTTGTCGAGGGCAACTTCACGGAAACGATGTGACCAAACAGCAACACCAAATAAAATACAAGCGCAACGTATGGATAATAGAGAAGAAAACTGCCACCAAATGTTCTGGAACATCTATACAAATATATGGCGAAGTTATGTTTAGACCACGGGACTTTCAAATCTTTCATGCTTCTAGCAAACATAATTGTTTGTTTGCAGTTAAATGTTGCGTTGTATAACGCCATGATGGCTTCACACCGAAGACAAATAGCTGTCTTACGAACATACATTTTATCTAGGTCTTCTACTATATGAACGCCTCCTGCTTGTTGTTATTAGCATTCTTTTTAGGTTTATTTTCCTGCGAAGAACTAGCCATAATCGACTAAACAAATGCCGAGCATGCGCAAATTACCGTTTTACGTCAGACTACGATACGATCATCGTATTCAAGCGTTTTAGTGTGAACAGTCGAATACGCTACGAAAACGGTAGTGTGAACGCGAATCGATCGATGCGTTTTCGGTCTTGCGAAACCGCATACAAACGAAAACGCACTAGTGTAGACAGGCCCTAATTAAGCACCTTAATGGACCTTTATACATATACAATGTATAATTAAGCACCTTAATGGACCTATATATATATATTAATATATATATATATATATATATATATATATATATATATATACACACAACAATATGTCATGCAGAATTTTTTTCCCTTCGACAGATTAACTTGGGTGTGCATGGTGTTCAGTAGGTTACTACGTTAATTTTAAATATCTTATTGCCTAAAATATAACTTTAATTTTGCAAAATAGGCACGATAATAAAAAGCTTACCTCGAATTCACATATGAAGCAATACTAAGATCAGTTGTCTGATTGTTCCTCAGGATTGGAACGCAGACAATTTCTGTGGTACCAGTAAGTGTAACACCAGCCAGTCCTAACAGAACTGCCATCAGCATACCAGTAAGAGAGTAGTCTATAAGGATTTCCCACCATGGTTGAAATGGAGTTACAAGGGAAGTGCCTGCCTGAATCTCTGATACAAGTTGTAGGGATAGCATGTTTTATAAGCCTAAAAAATTATGGTAAATTCAATGTGAATGAAACCTGTGTCATATGTATTACTTGTCATGAAAACATATTTGCACCTTGTGTGTAGATCAATATATGACATATGTTATACACAAAGTTGTGAGCTTATTAAATAGGCCTGTGCAATCATTGATACAAGATTTAAGATTATAACTGTTAATGAGTGACTGCATAATTACAAACGAGCTGTATGTGGCCTTAGTAAGCTTGTTTTGGTAAGAAATAATTTTAAAAATTAGAAATCCTATGCACCATATATGAAACATTTAGCTTCTGCTTACTCCACACAACTTTACATATTTCAAAGGTGCTATCAATTAACTACCTTGACAATATTATGAAAATGCTCCCAGCTACTAGAAAATTGAATTCATTTCATTGAAAATTTACCAGCACAAAAGAAGGAAAATTCTAAATAATACTAGCTAAGCAAATAGTTTATAGTGTATATTAATAGTTTACTAATAGTTTATTAATCCATTGGTTTCATCAGATAAGGGGTCCTCTAAATCAACTGGCTACTGTATATATAATTGAATTGAATTACATGTGTATATAATTTATGAATTACTTGTGTGGGCAAAATATGAAGAAAGAGTACATATAAAAAAATGGGCATTTTTAAGAGCAATGTCATGTTAACATGGTTAACATAAGATGCTGCCAAATTATTCAAACTAAATATTCATAAACACTTGTTGCTGAAATGATGCATGAGTATAAAGTCGAGTGCATTACTGACATAATATTTTTCATTATGGTAGCCATATTACACAGGATTTGGAATATGCAGGAGTTTATAGTGAAACAGTGGAGCTTGAGGCTCTTATGCTTTCACAAAACAAAAGGGCATATACCAAAAATACAACTGTCAATTGACACTGTATATATTGAGGAAAGAAAATTGTTAGTCATTAAAACTACAGTATATTGGAAAATGCTGGGCAAGCAATTCCATTTCTAGCAATCAGTGAAACTTACTGTTTTACGAAATTCATAGAGTATATATCAGTAGAACGTTGTTCACTGACTTACATTAGTTTAAATACATACTGTATATGCATGACAGTAGAACAATATCAACAGATCAAAATACAAATTAATACATGAAACTAGGATTCTGCGTAAACATTCTTAAATTTATCCCAATGAACGTGACGGTCCTTGAAACGAACAAAACATATTATAAACTACCCCGGTACATCCAATTTTGTTACATACCTAGACTTTCTTGAGGATCGGGTGTAGTTACCTCGTAGAAGAACAGAACTTTCAAATCGGAAATCAGCTGTTAAAAACATTCTGGTTTTTACAGGGGGCGGGGCGCATTAACTTCTAACGCACTGCCACCAGGTTCCAGGTTGGTAAAAAAAGCGACTTTTCGCAGTTTCACACCAATTGGTATTCATACCATATTGATTATCGTTGTGAACTTGTGATTGTTTGGGAAATGATCACAACAATAATAAATATGGTATAGAGATAGCTGCTGAGTGCTGAGGAGGCTAGATGTGTCACCGATATAGGTATGGGCCGTTTAGGTATCGACGTTCACAAGTCGTCATAAAGACATAGACAGTGTTTTCAGGCTTTCAGCACAGAAAATATGAACAATTTTTAAATTTTCGATAGCTCCAAATTGAATCCAGTGAATTTAAAACTATAGGAATAATAATGAGTAATCATCGGCACACTGCTAGAAAGAACACGCCTAACTTAGTAAAGTGGAAAGTTTGGTAGCGGAATATTGTAATGTGTGAAAAATATAGCCGTGCAAAGTTTGTATAAATTAGTATACCAAAGACAATACAGAAGACATGTCTGGATTGTCTATGGTATTACACGCGTAAGACTAATTTTTCTAATTTATACAAAATATTTGCAATATTTTTTTCGTATTTTTCAGCATTTGGCAACCAAACCTTCCAATTTAGCTAATTTTGGTATGCATCTTCTAACTCTAAATCTCAAAACCGATGAATATTTTTAGGTCAGCAATCAGCATTTATTAATAGGGAAATGGTTCAAATCACTGATCAAATGAGTTCAATGTCCGACAATCGTGAATCGGTTCAATCTATGGTTCGTTCCCTCCCCCTCCCCAGTCCCCACTGATCATGGACTATTATTCATGGTTCCCACAGCGTATAAGAAGTACTTCATTTAGGCAAAAATAAACTGTTCTGTTCAGTGATGTTGTTGCATTGAATGTGTGTTGTTGACAACAGAATACAGAGCTACAAAGTATCTTTGCAGCTAGTCAGCAACAGCACGAAATGATCGAAGTTGCACTCGTTAAACGAGGAGCTAGGATAAGCCTATCAACAGCATATGATGAGAAGTACCCTCCTGAAAATATCATTGATGGGTAGGTTTGAGATATTATACCCCATTTTTATAATTTATTCAATTACATCAGATATATTTATACTTTTTATACTGAAACATATAGACTAATAAATCCTACCTAGGCTTGATTAACATTTGCTTTCGTAGTAAAGAGGCTTATAACAAGTCCTTGTGTAATAGCATTTCATGTCAATTTGTTAAAACAAGCCAATTGGTTGGAAATTGTCAGGTCTTTAAGGGAATTATTTTTACAGCATTTTGTTGTTCCTTAAATAGATTGCATTTTGCCAAACACTGCAAATTTCAAAGGAAATTTCTGTTTTATTAATAGAACTCAGTTGAATTACTTGAATATTATGTAGCTGCCATGCTTGAAATGTCAAATGTCTGCATGGTTATTAGTGTAACATTTTGAATTCTGATTTAATATGTTCGACGTTAGCCAATAAGAGTGCATTTGGGTAGGGGAACATGAAGCCTTGCGCTAACTCACAAAAATATATCTTATTTTTAATTGTCTTACTGCATATATAGCAATGTTGTCAACATCACTTTTTAAAAGAATGTGTAAGAGTGGAAATTGGGTCATAGGTTTGGCTTATTTGCAAGTCTTTGTCATCCAACATCTCCAATGCAGTTTGTTTATGTACAAGTAGAAAATTTTGTACCTATATAGGTGCTTTATACTACTGAAAATGTCGAATTTCTTCTACCTGACTGTATAGGGTCTAGTGAACATGCAAGGACTAGTTGTTTAAATCTGGGTTAGCGCTAACCCTGGGTTAAATTTTAATCTGCTGTTCTTTAAAAAAAACCTTTACAAAATATGGCTTTTGTCTGAAATATTCAACTTTGTAACCAAGCGATTAAAAAAAATTTGGTTTAACCCAGTGTTATTAAGCTAAACGAGTTTTGAACAACCGGCCCCAAATGTATATAATGATTACATTGTTGTGCAGACTTTGCATGCTACCAGATTTTTGTATTCAATTAGCATGTAGCATTGTAGCATTCAATTTAGTTTTCAACTAGATCATACTTGACCTCATTCTTCAAGCATTTTAACATTTAATTATTAAAGCAAAGAATACTACAATTGCAAGAATCATAAAATATCCATTTTATTCCAGATCTGTTATTATTGTACTTGTCCTGATTGTCAATTTAATTCATGTTTTTATAATTTAGAAATAAAAACACATTCTGGTCAACAACAGGAATGTTCCCACAAGAATTCGTAATAAGTTTTCCTTCCACGGTGGAAATCGATGCTATAAAAATGACTTGTTCAAATGGTAATGTCATTTCCTGGGGCATCTGAACAGAGTAGACTATGATGTTATTCCCCCTAATTCTTCCTCTTGGCAAGACTTTTTCCAATTACAAAACTTTATCCCAACAGCAGTATTAGTCTTTTAGGCATAAAAAAATGTTCCTAACAATAGTCAATACTATGTTGTGTTTACCAGGCTTCAGTCTGACCAGCCACTTCCTCCCTTCCAAAATCTTGTCGACTTACCTTATCATGTTGCGAGTTCATTTAAAGAAGTGGGTGAACAATCGCTTTGAAGAGAGCAGCGATTCATTGTCATATATTGACTTCGTCATTGTCATTGATATGACGTTGCACTGAAAATCGATGAAAAAATTATTGGATTTTTACCTTTTCGTTTTCAGTTAAACAAATTTCTATTGAAAAATCGTCAGAACAAGAACCAATCGATTTTCAACCACTTTCACAGAAAGGTTTGTGACTATATGTTTAAGATTATGTACAGTAGCTATGCCTATACGTTTCTTTACGTTCATTTAAAAGTTTATTACGTTAAGTTTACATTTAATAATCGAAAAAAACTTTAACGACTATTAAACAATTGAAATCACTCAAAAAACGTTAATTCTTCAAAAAGACCACTAAGCCTTTGCAAACTAACCTTTTTTCTCCTGATGTACACATGCATGCACTGGTATTCGCGGGAGGTGATCACGTGGTGGATATCTTGAGCCTTGTTCACACGATCCTCTGAGTCTCTGACGTATCAAATGTAGTCTGCATGTTATTGTTGACAATGCAGTACTGCATTGGCTTGAGTTGATTTGCTGCCTATATACATTTGAGTCAACAGACTATAAAACATCCATCTAAAGTGAATTAGATCCGAAAAAAATGGATCCTGTGAACAAGCCTTTACTGTTGATTATTCATATTATATAATAAAACATATATTAATAACAAAAAAATTCTAGGTGAGAGACGTTTTGATTTGAAAGTTACTTGTCATAGGCTATGGTAGTCTTGTCGTACCTTGAGAATATCTTTCGATGTTGTAGGTACATTGTCACTATTTTCAATTTGAATAGTGTGTCTTTTAATTTGTTGCAGGTTAAGGAAGAGATAGTGCGTGCAGATACACCCAAAACTTTAGCATCCTAATGCACTCAAATCTCTTTTCGATGTACTGGTCCGACCTGATAGCAAATGTGGTGCACTACTGATACTCTATAGCGTATGCAATTCAGTGAATTAAAATTGTATCACATGTTCACAAATTCCGTTTCTAGAACTGAGCAATCTCGATGGTCAACTACAAATGGACGAATTTCCGGTAAGACAGTATATATATCATATAAATGTATACACCAAATAAAGATACACGTTGTTAGTTATTGAAAGCAATGCTGACAAATTGTGATTGTTCTTAATTGTGAGATTGCTTGACTTTCAGATGCCAGCGACTTCTACAAATCATCTTCGCTTTGTAATCAAGTCGGGTTACGATCATTTCGCTGCTGTCTATCAAGTAGCAATTGATGGCTCACTGGACGATTGACCCAAAATTTATGTGTTTGGTTTGAAGTTTCTAAAAGAGGCCACTGACACTTATTTATTCATTTTTGAGCTGAGTATCTTTACTATTTTTAATGCCTAGTACAGTGAAATGCCTCAGAAAGGAATGTACCAAAGATTATAGGTGCTATACAATATATTACATAGAGGTCCCGTAGTCAAATCTGAAGTTCTCCTAATAGTATCTTATAAGTTTTGTACGGCGTTAACAATACCCAATTGAACTTAACTTGTAAAACCTCAGACTTACCATATATAGCCTTATAGCATATATAGGCTCTAGACCTTACCTCTAGACTAAGGTTGTAAAAATATTTAAAAATAATTTATAGCTATATCCATTTTGGCAATTGTAATGTTTATTTTACTGATTTTTATTTTATTTTGAGTGCCCATATTACAGTAATCGTTCCAGTTTGCAAACAAATTAACGGGATTCAAATTTACGTAATATTTGTTTTTACAACTGAAGCCAGTCGTTCAAATGCAATTAAACTTTTGTTTTAGCCATTCAGAAGGTGAGTAATCGCTAGGGTCTTTCTTGTGTATTTAGTGTCAGTGCCCAACAATAAAAAAGCACACAACGTCCATAATCTCTTTTCGCACAACTTTGATTTGGTTTTTATATTATTTGTTTACAATTCCCGAAGTGTGCTTGCATGCTTACAATTTTTGCATATGCAGCTCTCTAGCGGTTAGTATTAGGTTAATGTAGTGGGAAGATTGAATTATACAAAGAAAATGTGTTTAAAATTGTAAATGTGTACAGGCAGCACAATTGGTGCTTTGCCATGTTCGGCATCAACGTTTTTCTGCTTTAAGTGTTTTTAACACATGACATCAGTTCCCTGAAGTATTTCTCACTAATTTTAAAATTTGGAAAAAACCTACCCGTGTAAAATAAAACCATTCTCCTACAACCACAACATATGGCAACCTCGCAAGCCAGGCTCTTTTACCTACGCTCCACGGCCCACGCTGCGCCTGGCTTGCGAGGTTGAACATATGGGCGATTACATACACAGTCATGTACATTTAGTTAATTGCAATTTTTCTTGGAATTGCAATGAAATTCATTTTTAGGAAATGTAATTGATGTAAATAGGAAATAGTCTTCAAAATGAAGTGTAAGAAACGTTATGTTAGGTGAATACGATTCAGAAACTCGAACCGTGAACATTATTTAGCGTATATGCACGTCATGCAGAGAATCAAATTGCCCGTTACATATAATTATTACAATGAGAATATAATAAGCAATAAACACGCCATTTTAATGTTTTTGTAAATATAACAACAAATATATTGGTTAAATAATATCAGGAGGTTAAACTTTTAAACATTTTTAAATAACATATATAAAAATTTTTTTAAGATTGAAAATAATTTAAAATGTAGTTCGATTTCAAAAACATACCGCAAAATATAATTAAATAATTTCCATAATTTTTTATTATTTCAGAGGAATTGACGAACGAATGTTGCCAATACCCAATATAATGAAAGAACATGTAAAATAATGAAAGGCTAATCCAGCAATCATTGACTCCTTGAACTCCAAGCAAGTATAGGTATATTTATTTTAGAATGTCCATTTTTGATATGCGCTTACCCAAGCGGTTGTACTGACCCAGTCAGGCAGTTTGTTGATAAAATTATTCATAAATGTGGATTGCGAATCTTTTCCGTGACTGTAGTGGCCAGCTATTGCAATGTCGATCAGATCTTCAGTTGCACTAAAAGACTGATAAAAAGTAAAGTCAGCGTTTGGTTACAACTGACAGCTGTCAAGGCAAAAACTCTCCATACGTTGTTTGTTTGTTGCAAATTGAGTAAGCGAAACAAGGCTACCACCCTCTTTGGTTGGGGGATTTGAAGATTTATGGTAGAAGATCGCATGGACGTCCAGTAAGGGATAGCGGAACATTAATTTGTCGAGAGCCCTAATGCGGACTTGTTCTGTAAACGTTTAAAAACGCTAAGTGGTTCCCGTTTGAATGCTGGACAAAATAATGTTGAAAACTGGACAAAATAATGTTGAGCATGCTGCAAGTCACCAACATGGTTGTTATCAAGCTGCAGTAACATGTTCAAGCCTTACAGAATGCTGCAACCTGATAACAAATCAAGCAGTGAAATCATTCTCTTTTTAGACAACTTACCTCTATCTCGACCCAAAAGTACCAAGGACCAGTATATATTCCGTGAGAATAGTACACAAAGTATTGAGGGCGGGAAAAAGTTTCTTTCTCGTTGTAAATTACCCTTTCGTGCAGTTCACCCAAGGATGAATCGATGATTTCGACACCGGATCTTGGTGACAGGTACAGAGACATGTGAGATGGACCTGCATGATGATATGAGGAATACGTTATAAATATAAAAAAATCCTTTTCCTCGATCTAATTAGCGTTTAATAATTTTATTCTCGTTTATTCAGACATGCAGCGCGAGCATTATCTGCACCTATTTTATGAAAAATCCGATACATATAAAAGTTATTATATGTAATTATTACATTTCATAACATTATTATATTCCTTGAATAAATCTCATCCATTTCTTAATTATTCTTACGGTAATTATTGTTTACGAATAACAGATCCACGGTTATATTAACCATTAGCCTATATACAGACGTTGGTAAAGATGACTCCCACATAAAATTATCACAAAACTGTTTTCTATCTCAGACCACATTAACTTTACAAAAAATTTATTGCCTCATTGGAACTATCACTAAAATCATGTTATAGACTTGCTTCTTGTGATATTTTTACGAAAAGCAACGGCCATCTTGGATTAATACTTGACTTGTTGACTTTTTTTACGATCAGATGTAGGGTAATTGGCTTTATAAAATTACTTCTAAATTACTTCTTAGTACAAATTATAAGCTGTTCAAAATGTTTCTATTCTTTTACGAATGTAGAAATTGCAACCGAGAACCAGCTACCTCCTCCGCAGGCGCTAGGGAGCTTTTCGGGCGATTTCGGGAAATGCGGGTTACATGCAAGCAACAAGGTCACAAGCGGTTACCTTCGTCTCTCGCTTTCGTTTCTAAATTTCTACTCGCAAAAATATCACCAGGCCTGCGGAGGAAGGTTCATCTTGATCTTGATAACAGGCCGTCAAGATAGAAAATTGCGTGACCTCGCAATATGCGATTTAAACTGGCGGGAAAGGAATAGCTGTCAAATTTTTAATATTTCTATTTTTACTATTTCCGACAACTTTCTGAGCGCCGAGTTGGCTAAAATATGAGCGCGAGATCACCTCGCATGCCCGTCCTCAATAATCCAAAATGGCGGGCAAGTTTTTTCGTTCCGTCAAAATTAGAAAAGACAGGCTATAAAAAACCTGTAAAAAGATTTTAAACGCATGCATCTTTGAAAGACAAAATAATTGTTACCATTGTCCTTTAAATCCATTTCTAATAATGTTTCATGGTCTAAGTAAGGGGAATTTTTTTTTCAAAATAATATCTTTCCAGCCCACAACAGCTGACTCGATAAAAGAAGGCAGAAGCGTCCAGCCGTTCTTACCGTTAAGTTCGAACTTTATCTTCACGGTGCGTCCTCGCTTACCACTCTCCCTCGATATTAATTTCAAGGTCGCCAAGGTTGAGACCTCTGGGCCTGAACCCGGAACATACCAAGTTTTACTGAAGAAAAAGTAGACAAAACTCAAAAGTACGAAAAAGTCGATGTTATCCGAATGAATTGAATCTACTTAGGTCGAATTTTCACATTTGAAAAAAAAGCGAACGAAAAGCTTTCCTGCATCGAAAAATTCTGCCTAGTGGAGATTCACCTTAACCCCAACATGAAAAAGAAAATGACTCACTTACTCGAACATGAAGCCGACAGGCATATAGTACGGGAAATCACCAAACAATCCTTCATCCATATTGGGATTTTGAGCGTCCTTGAATTCTGGTAAAAAATCTATATGCTTGATGCCAAGGTAGTCGAATGGGACGACCCAAAGACCCGAATCTCTGTGACTTACTTCGCCCGTCCTATCGTAAAATGTCCGTGACACGTGCTAAAAATATGCCAAGGTAAATAGTCATTTTAACATTACATAGTGAGTCAAAACAAAATATTTTTACCTGCAAGATTAGGAGTTATTTAGCCCATAATGGTTAGAAAATAGAAATAACCAGATAATTGTTGCATAATGGAAAAGTAGGTAAGTATAGGTAATCATGCGATGGTGAGTATCATTCGGGATTAATAGTGCGAGTGCATGCTGTTTGAAAACTTTGCCAAAATCGGACGAGCCGCCGGGCGAGTACAAAATGTAGAAACATCAGGAGTATCATTAATCCCTAATTTTACGAGCAACATCGCATGATTATTTGTTTATTATATTAGCATAATAAAATCGTTCAACTTTCGTCACGCTTTATCGCGAACTTTTCAGACCTTTTAGTTTCTCCAGGGCTGTTTAGTTTGTATGCAAAATTCGGCTGAAATAATTCTCAAACAATCAGCATCCAGTAATTTTAGTACGCTAATAATAAACGATCGTATCGGCGCCAGAAGGCATTGAAACAATCGGGGACGTTTGATTTTGATCACTAATTTTCTTTTCAATCTATCTCTATAACAAACACCTTATCAATTATATGAGCACATTTCCTCCTAGCTACCTGGAATACCAAGCGTTTTGGACACCACGGTTCAGCTGAATATGGAAAAAGAGTTCCAGTGAGAACAAGTATGGTGGAAAATAACCAAACTCCAGTCAAGGGTAATATCAGTGGCTTGACATGGCTAACAACGTGAACCAGACTGACCTATATTAAACATATACAAGGAAACAACATTGTTTACGTATACACTGCTAAAAACTCTTCGTGCACGGTTTAAGAGTATTGAACCATATCCGCAGATATTGTTCGCACTTTTCAACAACATTGAGCAATATTAGCCCCGTTTACATTTCGGCACGGCACAGCTAAAATTAATTGGTACCCGTGCCCAGATTTATTAGTGTTCAGGCTACCAATACAAAGGCCGAGCACGATGAAATTGGCACGGGTACCCATTTTAGCCGTGCCGTGTCGATATATTGAGTGTATAGTGTAAACTGGCCTATTGTTCAATGCATGTTGAGAACTCGGGCAGCTAGCGCAACATTATTCAATCCTGTTCATTTGCATTGCATCAACCTGATCGTTTTTAGGCGTGTACCTTGATTATACAAGGGCCATTTCAAATTCGCAGTAAAAATAATGCATACAGCATAGATAATTCCATACTTTATATTTTTACAGTAATTCATCCTGCAGCTGGTAAGAGTAATAGTAATTCTGATATAATATATTTCAATTGAAGCATTATAGTAAGGAACTGTCCCAATTAAAGTTTCTGCCATTTTTTCTACGTTGTGTATGTAGGGATGTGTATGTAAGGGATGGATTTACTCGGGGGATCAGTCGGTTGGGATGAGAGTGCAGATTTAGGTACTAATTCAAATTTGAGGGAATTAAATGTACGAAAATCAGTGCCTATATCGTAAATATTTTGGCGTATATAAAATGTTATAGACTAGAATCCTTCTTGCACGAGGCCCTGGCCCCTGCCAATCTAGGTAGCACCTTATCGTTTCATTTCTATACATTCTTTAATATACCCTGGATATCCAAAAACGCGCTTTAAAAATTATCCTCCCCACACATAAGTTCCAATATAACCAGGGAGCAGCGTCGCAGCGTCTTTAAACAACTTCGTGACGAAGGCCCTCAGGTCGAAACGTCGAGAACTGTTTCCCCACACATAAGTATGATGAAGCATTTATTACAATGAATATGACGTCGACGTCATTGAGAGATCGCCGAGAAAAATTATGTGAACGTTTCTTTGAGAAAAACATTCATAATGAAAAACTCATCTATTGCCACCAACAATTGTACCTGGATAATTACGACCAATATGTAAATGTCGTATAATTATTTATGTAGTATACAAAGTCAGTATGATTTTTAATAGTAATAATAATAATAATCCCTAAAAAGGATGCGTTGTGTACGTTACCGTTTTGTAGGTGAACGCGAACAAAAAGAAAGGTTGTATATGTTAAAAAATGTACCGTGTTTAAAAACCTACCGTGTATGACAGAAAGACTAAAACGAAAAATGTAACAAAAAGCGATATGGGAACTTCTGGAGGTTCGTTTCCACCAGTTCGGCCAAATATTGGGATAACAAAATCTAGCAGCATCCAAAACATATATGACCACAGCATTAGTGGAATTGCGACTGACAACAGATACATGGTTACGAAGGCATTGCCGTTGCCGCAGGTTGTCGTTTGGCGACTTTTTCCAAGACAGACCTCCCAGATAAAAACACGTCCGAGTAACGGAAACGCCACCATCAACATAAACAGATATGCTGAACCGATATTGTAATAGTTCAGGATTGATAATAATGTGTTCCATAAGAATAAGGTCGCGTAAAACATGTGGGCTTCCTGACTCCATCTTTCAGGCCAACTAGACGTGTTCTAAACAATGTTTCGTACGAAACAATGAAACAAAGCAATTATAACAACATTTAGAAGACAATTCCATGAACAACATGAGCTTTTGGTAGTATTTCATTATTAAAAGAAAGTTGTAAATATCTGTTTGTGCATCGAAAACCATCCACAAAGATTTGTACTGTCAAGCTTTTCAAGCTTGATACTCGATAATGATCTGACATGTGAAAATTGATTAGATTAATTTGGGTATTCACATTATCAGTACCTTAAAATGAGTTGCCTGCCAGTAGTGTATTCCACACATTACCAACATTCCTGGCAGCACGTATATACCAATTAGAACGTAAGGCTTGCAATACCAAGACAATGACTGACCGCTTGCGGTTATCATCTTAGCGAGGAGAAAAACGAACAGCAAAGACAACACCCATGATAAAACAATGTAGAATAGTGCTTTAACAAATGACGTGATATACAAGGTCCCATTGAAACTGATTGATCTGTTTGGAGCTATATGTAAAATGAAATGTGACGTTATTGTGAATTCATTCGGTTCAACTTTAAATAAATATGGAAAAATAACCAATTTAGAGTTGCTATTTTTATTTAACATCATGATCTATTTTATATTGTATTTTAGAACCAAGACTTCTTGACAAATACTCTAGACATGATTTCACTTTACCTTTATCAGAGGCATGGGTATCCTTAGCGAGTCTCCTAGAAAACTTGAACGCAATACAAACAAACGTCACGGCCGCGACAAGACCATTCAAGATCCAACCGATTCGCTGAGGGTACAATACCAAAAATAAACCCAGAAAATCGTAGAATACCATCGCGCCATGTCGATCACCGCTAGGATCAGCAACAAGCGGCGACTGCGATAGCTGTATGAGCATGCCCAGAAGGTTTTCCCCAGCCCGTTGAACACTGCCTGATGTTATGGCCTGAGGGATATCCCGCGCGGTGTGGTATACGTAGCCGTTTGTAACGTAAGCTATGTCAATACCTTTAATTAAAAAAAATGGCATTTGGCAAAAAGAACAAGGCGAAGATCATAATAAATGTAGTCGAATAGCCGAATGGCGCAAAAAACCCTGAGCATGCACCATAATAAAAATCATGCAGCGCGCCAGATAAAAAACAGGATCAATTTTTCTTTGTTTCTGACTGGCTTAATTTTTTTCAATGGGTAATGGGTATATTCACGAAAAAATACCTTTAATAAAAATTGAGTATGTCAGAACAAGTCAGTTAATATATTCGTTAATAACAAATCGTTGTATAATTGAATAAAATTGTTGTGTCGAATTGTTAAATCCCAGAGCGTGCGAGGGTACTGATTCCGGGTATTTTATCAGATCATATAGCCAAATCTAAAGTCGTCAAAATTCTATGTCATGAACAGTAGACGTTGAATTTTGACAGGCAATGTCCTAGCTGATCACAATTTTAAAAACCTCTGCGATAAAACAATAGTTCAAAGGTTACTCTGGGAACTGTACTGTTTTAATGTTTTGTGGGTTGGATTTTTTTAACTTGGTTGCATAATTTACTTGTAATTTATAACAACTTACAGCTATATTTACCTGGAATGTTACCATAGTCACGAAAAATTCTGAAGTCGGTTTCACCAGGAATCAATCCTGTTTGAAAAAACTCTTGCCCAACAATGGATGCACATGGATAATTTGCTGAGTTAGCATACATCTTTATTAACCAAGGGTGTTCAGGACCAGTTTGAAACACTACTTCTCTTCCACCTGAAGGCATATGTGGAAAATTTTGTAATGCATCATGCAGGAGGAAGTGGACAATCCAGTATGAACCAGAATACATGACTACATTTCTCATTTTTCTCATTTGAAAAATATGTATAATTATGCAAGCTATGTGTGTAGAAAGGGATTGCATGGCTATGATTATTTTGGATGTATCAGTTAAAATTATAGAACTACTGAAAATATTGAAAATAGATCTAGAAAATATTATATACTACATGGAAATTGAGTTCTTAGTCCATAAGCATATAATCAGGGCCAGCTAGCCATTAGAAGCTGAATTAGGAGGATGTATATTAATGTATTCTGATATTAGGAAGGGGATTATACTACCATGTAACAATAATTGATACATTTATACTTGTTATTGTATATCATCCTCATAATCAGGAGTGTGAACATGATATCATATCATGGTAACAATATAAGCCTGATATAGCATGGCATAAAAAATAGCATAAGAAATTAAACATATTTAACTTCATTATATTATTGAAAAAAGACAAAGCAGGAAATTTATTCTTTTGAAATTTTTTTTGTCTAGTCTTGGACTCTTGGCTCGATCAATAATTGCTTTTAAAGTTGTGTAATTGTCTCACATTTCTCAATATTGCATTTCATTTTTTTTAATTGTCTTTCCTTAAGCTTATGCTTACATTCCATGTTTAAAACAGGCTTAAGCTTGGAGGGTCTATGCAATAAAATTTAATCTCATCACAATTTACCTGCACCTGCAGCCTCCAAATTAACAAACACTCTAATGTCGTGTGCCCAAGGATGCTGTGTAATGAAACCATGACTGGCTTGGAGGAAATTTTCCTCAGCCCCATTGAACAGGAATACAAGACTATGTTCTAGCTCAATATGTGGGTTTGACTCCGTCAGACACCTGATAACCTCCAGCATTGTTGCACAACTAACTGCATCATCGCTGGCACCGGGTCCACCAAAAGTCGAATCGAAATGTGCATTGATTAATACACTATGCTTGGCCGGGTAACTCTTTTTCGATGATACCCGGGCTATCACATTCGAAACATTCCTGTAATAGCTTGAAAAACCTTCAAGGAAATCTATGCTGAAAGTTCCCGAAGGCCGTTGAAGGTCAATGTCGAGAATTATGTCACCACGCTTTCGCTCCTGAAAGGTCCGAAGCGTGCGAAGCAGATACTCGACACTTTTGTGCTCATTTGCAAAGCTACCCGTGGGCCTCACGCCATACGAAGTAATTTCGTCCAAGTGTTGTCTGGCCCTCCATTCTGCAAAATCGCGTTTATCCACGTTCACTTTTGTCTCCGGGACGTAATGATGTGTGTACACAGCCAAACCAAAAATTAGCACGTGAAATACAAGTACAAGCAAACAATGTGTGAATGTCAAACCTTCGTACTTATAAACTGATTGCCGGTGTCCGTTCTCGTCTCCGTTTCGAGAACTGTATTCGTGTTGCTGCCATCTGTTATCTAGTGTACTTCGTCTGCGTAAAAAGTCTCCTGTGATTGTACTCATACTTAAATGAAATCTGACGCCCTTTCAAAAGCTATTAAGAGTTTTAAAATACCATATGTAATTACCACAGTGGTTATGTAATTTACCTGAAACAAAGCTGAGGCCTCTGTCACAAATCACAACACTCACACTACTTCCGGAACCAAACAATGAAGCTACCGGCATTTCTTACCAGGCGTAGCGACCTGGGTCAGTTGCGTTAAACTTTAATGCAATGTTTTTAATGCAGACAAACAGAAGTTACAAAGCCAAAGGAAATCATAACTCGGTTTTTAGGTCGCGAGGTAATGATTTCGGATTGGCTGGATACTAAATGGACCTATATATATATTTTGACTGTGACGTATTTGCGGACAAAGCGATGATGAAAGCGTGTAACTGGCTGCAATGGCCAATCAGAAACATTTTCAATCCTATAGTGGCCTATAGTACTAGTGGACAATCAGGACAAAGGACAAAGGCCTACACAGCCCTATGAAAATCAACTAATTTGCTATATAGGTTACCGTATGTAAAAATAATTAAATCAAAGGTGAAATTGGTCAACCAGAATTGCAAAGTTTTTCGCTTGATTTTCTTTCCAATTGTTGTGAATCCGCTACTAGTCCTTTTACTTAAATTGGCAAGAAAGGTGACCGATAGTGTAACAATTAAAAAGTGACGCAATTTACTTAAGCAAGGTTTGTTAGGTCGTTTTTCTGCCAAATGCTGCCACCCTGCCAATTTACTAATATTGGTTTATTCTAACAGGTCTACTGTAATCAAACAACTTAACATCAAATGCGGTATAACAACTGCCTAAAATAGACAAAACACTTCTCGATCGCGACGTTTCGACCTGAGGGCATTCGTCAGGAGAGTTAGTCAGGAGAGTGAGGCTGACGAAGGCTCTCAGGTCGAAACGTCGCGATCGAGAAGTGTTTTGTCTATTTTAGGCCGAGTTGTTATACCATGTACATTTGATGCTAAGTTGTTTGAAGACGCTGCCATGCGTTGTCTGTTATTGTTCTTGCTTAATCAAGCTGAAAGCTGCAACACGGCTATGAAATCTCTGATAGTTAAAGATTGCATCGCTTATACAAAGGCTGGATTTATTCAATAGATAGTGTTTTTCAAAATAAAATTTCTTTATATCTCATTGGTGATATCAAATAGTTGACTATATGGCCTTGCGTCCCGTGACGTTACAAGTCCCCCACTGCTCAGGGCGTGATGTATTTTGTTAACGGCCCCTTTTGGCAAAAATAATTGTTGCATCAATATATTTCTATTTTATTATTTTCCAACCATTTTTACAACAGTTGAAAGAAACACCATGCGCTGAATAAAATTAAAACAAAAATTTTAACAACAGTCAACACACAGGAAGTTAAACAATTCCCAAAGAGGCAAAATTCTAGTGATTTTATCGTCATTTCCATTACATGCAACGGCAACCCACAGCAACATATTTTAAATACTTATTATATAAATTAGTTTAAAATAAACTATTCCACGCTTTTAACAAGCCAATTGGGTTGTTTCTTTTTTTGAATATTTAAGTCAATTTTTGGAATCACAGTAGGGTGTTGCTTGTTGAACTCCGTCATGACTTCGTGTTGCGAAAACCAAGGATTCTCGATCTGCAGGAAAAATATTGAAGTAGAATTTTACCATGGTATATACCTTCAGTTGGTAGTAAGCAACAGTACAAAGTGCGGGGTGCGGGGTTTGTGACCCCTGGTACATGGACCACGGAAATCCTTAATTCGGGGGGGGGATATGGTAATGTTTCATATATTCGTGTTGCATTATTTTTTCCTTCTCAAATTGATTGTTTTACGGCCTGTTAACACGAATGTACGTATACCCCCCCCCCCTCCTCCCCTAAGGGATCTTTTGCGTTCCTTTTGGTATTCCAGTGCTTATATATAACCTTTATCCCCTGTCGATCCCCTGTCGTATATTATCCTAATTTAACGTAAGCCTGAAAGAAAACTTTGTCGAAGAGATAATAAGTTGAAAGAGATGGCCCACAACAGAAAGCATACTTAATTTACTGAACTTGCTCAAAGCAGATTTCTGGCTTTCGATCATCCCATTCGCCATCAGAACTCCCGTTTACATTTTTGAGTGAAAACACAACCTATTTTAATATACCTGCATTCCTAGTAACCTTTTAGCATAAGAAAAAACATACAAATTATACCTTGAGGCGCTCTATTTTTCTATGACCCATGGTGAGAGGACGTCGTACGGCACCCGCCTGCGGGGTGAAAATCTCCCTTCGTGCGAAATTCCCCATAATCTTTTGAACAACAACGGTAGGGTTGGGGACAGGAACTAGTTGGGGAAGAGAGGTTTCTTCGACTGTCGCACCTGGATCATCTTCGTTGCTCAAAGGATCAACTGTAGGAACTTCAAATTTAGGAAACATCTCTTGTCTGGACATGTGTGAACTGAGGGGGTGTTCTTGTGGAAAATCCACTTTGATCTGTTTGTCGCTAAAGGAATTACAATGAGAAATAAAATTGATGGGAGACGGTGGATGGTATCGGGGAACTACAGACAAAACAATAAGGCAAGAGAAAATACAGGAAGACACGCATGGCAAGGGAATGCATAATCGTGTAAAAAAGACGCGTGGGGTTATTGTATTGTTTGGGCTAAATATAGTGCTGGTCACTTAACATAACCGGCGAGACGTTTCCCTGCTGAGTTCAAGGCTATAGGCTGACTTGGCACAACATTTGAGAAAATTCGCAAGCACATGGTCGCTTAAGGAGGTATGACTAAGGCTTACTGCAATTGACTTGTGGATGGTCTTGGTATCCTTAAAGGTGAAGAAAATTGAAAATTAAGATAAAAGACATGGCAGTATTGTGAAAAAAAATATTGTATTGTTGTTACAGTGTAGTTGCAGCGAAGTTTCCAAACTTTTAAAAATGTAATGGCGGTTACTATTTTATACTGAACAGCTAAGCGTTATAGTAATAATATTATTATATTAGTTGGTCTCAAAATTCAGTTTAGAGATATGAGAAAGGCTTATGTTTTTAGCAGGGTGTCGATAGGGGCATGGTGACCGCGGTAGTATAGAATTAAGATGCGAGTAGATTTCATGCTGGAATTTCGAATTCACATCTTTTGCACCGCTGATTGTCAATGTCTGTATAGTTATATAGCAATACGTTACTAAAACAAACTAAAACTGCAAGGCAACAAGCTGATCTGAGATCATGACGTCATAAGTCGTCTCGACAAAACTGAGTTATCATACGCCTGTTGTTATTTGTCCTTATTCTTCTAACTAATAGTATAAAAGGCTAAAAATTTAAATTCTAATTTACAGTTGGGAAAAATAGGCGTGTTTTCGCTTATATATAATAAAATTACTTGATATTTTCGAGTGTCGAAGTCATATGCAATGAAGGAAATGATAATTCAGTTTTGTCGAAGGTCTGGCTTCTCATTGGTTGATTTTTATACCCAGATCAGCTGGAAGGAGTTATTGCATTAATTAGCTATATTCGTTCTTTCCATTCCAGCTAGCATAGCAACGCAGGAACATTTCTGAAGATATTAACAGGTATTACTGATCCTTACAATTCGTCGCTGCTTCTCACGTCACTTCTCTTCAGCTGGGTCAAGTCGTAATATTGAACGAAAGGATATCCTCTATGCAGACAAAAAAGAAACAAAGAGCATCATAGGTGAAGAGTTTTGTTTTCGTCTGGCATCAAACTTCAGAGGTAGCTAGTTCACTTTACGGCTATTCTCTATATAGATTCATATTTCATACCGTATGAGAGAACCTAAATTAACTAATTACTCACTACAGAAATGCGATTTCGAAAACATAAGTCTGTTTCAAACGCGTCGGGTGTGCCGAATCCGGCGAATCGAACGCAAATGAACTTAAACAAAAACTTTAGCTCATTAACATTAGGTTTGGCACATCAGAAGTTCAAAAGTTCGACGTCTGAAACCTACATACCACCAGATATTTCGAAATACAACACATGCAACCCAGAAAAAATCTTGACAATTTCCCCTGGTTTTGCCCAACGTATCAAAATGTTAAAAGGAAACTGGCCAAAAAGGCAATAATGCATGTAATGCATTGCTGGGTATTGTAATGCTTTTAGTTTCTTTTAGGTCTCATTGAAACACCGTTGTATGTTGTGCTGATATTAATTGTGATACGGGGTAAGCATGGAAGAATGATAGCTAGAGCCTTACAATCAGGGGTAACTCACCTGGGATGAGGAAAAAGACTCCCAACCACTGCCAAAGTGCTTATGCGTTCTCTGAAGTACTGGTGGTGGTTCACATTTTGGCCTGTGTTCTGTCGGTAAATATATAGGTCCATCGCCAGCGTAACTTCTTGATCGACCCCACGGTGCCTTGATATTTTCATCGTGATTGTTCCCATGATTCGTAGCGGCATTGCTGTATATGAAATTTTGGAAAGTAATATATATAAGTATTCGTAAATTTGAACATTATTGCCGGGGAACTGTCTGGTCAAAAAACAGGGAATTCGAATTCATATAGCGATCCTGGGGTCGGTTGTATGAAAGCCGGATAGCGCTATCCACCGGATAGTGATTTTTTTCAATCGGTTTAAAATCGCCCGTTCATTGCATATAACTTTGATTAAATCTTAGTATTTTTAAATTGAAGATCCTCTTTAATAATTGTTCGCTCCAAAGTTGAAATTTTATTACTTTTCAAGCATGTTTAGAACGGTTGAAAAAACCATTATCCGCGGTGGATAGCGCTATCCGGCTTTCATACAACCGGCCCCTGGCTTTATTGGGGGCGAGCAACACTCGTGCATCATCGGGTCCGGTATCGTTTCGTACATGCGCGCGTAAAAATGTCTTATTTGAAAGTGTTTCATGTTTTGGGGTCGAACGTCAAATTGAACTTAACAGAAACTTTCTTAAAGTCGGCAAGGAAGAACATCAGCCATATTTTTTAGAATTACGCGCCATAATGCGAATTGAGCCTTAATGGCTACGGAATTAACCACCGTTCACATATCAACCTCGTTTCCAGAGCCATATCCCTTTTACATATATGCCGTTCACAGTTCACAGTATACGACGACAAGCATCCTGTTTTCAAATCGCTCCGTTTAGAAACCGTGTTCGAACTGTTACGACAAAAGTGACGTTTTTAAACAATTGCATATATGTGTCTGAGTGAATATTTTTCCTTGACCAAATCCAAACGATTTCTAATTCCCTAGTAATTCTCTGGCTTTAAATTTCTGGCAAAAGATTCTAAAACAAACATGTGCACGATCTAAACTCTCCTTTATTGCGGGAAAAAAAGCCGAGACAAATTACTTATAAGAATTAATTAATGTCTCTAAACAGCATGAGAAGGTGTCGGCGAATTTTAACTTTTCTGTGAAGAAGGAAAATCGCACCGAAAATCTGTGTTAAATGGACTTTATACGAGCAAATTTTTGTTGGCAAACTTCTTCAGTTGATTTGAAAAAACCATTTGACCACATTTGGCCTTGGTTTTGCCAAAATTCATTTGCCCGTGCATGACAAATTCTCGCAAATTTTCCACTCACACAGGCGAAATAGATTTGTGAAATAATATTTTTAAAGCATGCTAGTTTCCATAATGAATTTAACAGCATGTAGTCACACTTTGGTTAATGTAATAACGTATCAACTTATTGGGAAAAGCGACAAATTAGCTTTAGACAAAACCGGTAACTAATTATTGTTGGAAGTGCCTTAATTTCGGTGTCATTAATAAATAAACGTACTATACTGGGATATTAATTTTGCGAGAAAAAAAATTTCAATACTTTTGACTCATTCCCAAGCACAAAATAGCTACCCTGGGCGTAACTTGGTCAGTTAAAAGAACAATATTTATATATTCCCGCGTATGGACCCCGTATACCAACATACCTAACAAATACAACTCCACCAGCATTCGGGGCACTTTGGAATACACTTGAGTTGTATGTTTGTGATGTTCTATCTAAAGGGCTTCTCTCTTTATACAAGTACTTCTGGTACGGTGTCATATACTCCACGTTGAACGGCATTTTTTTTCATTTATTTTTCCAGACTATCACTGATATGAACGACGAGAAGTTTCAACCATATCACTCCAGTGTAAACATTATGAACGCGACAACTTCAGTATTTATTTATCAGCATGTGTATGTCTGCTTTGTTCAGTCCCGACTTTCTTAACCACGGACGTGCATGCTGAATTTGATTCACCAAAAAACTGGTATTGATGTTGACCGAAGAAATCAAAGTTAGCCAAAAGTATCTGAGATCTTTGTTGCGGAATAGCTAGTTGGTGTATGATGGAAGCAAACAAAATTCGCCTTGGTTACTGTAAGACGATACATTGTCATTAATAAGCGCTTAACGATTCATTAGGTCATTAGTCACTGAATCGATTAACCTAACAATTGTGTGTGAAACAGAAATTTTTATACCTTTTTTATCATACAAAAAATGTACTGGCGTTAAAAGAAGTATAATGCGAAAGAAGGCCTTCGAATACAAAACGAACTTTTCGGCCAAAAGAGCTTATTGATGGAGTTGCACCCTAATACCCCTATGTTAGTTCAATAACCTAGATACCAAAATATATAGACAAAAGTAGAAACGGCGAAGTTGGGCTTTGAATGAATATGATCATGAACGAGCGCCGAGCGCGCATGGATCTTCTGTGAAAACCCTTCATTTTCCCTATTGATTTTACCTTTCGCGCTAAACGTGTAATAATTATTACAAGTCTTAGTCTACTGAAAGACTTATACATCATTGATTATGCAATCAATAAAGTATGATGTGATGAAATACGCCATCATAGCATCATCGATATCGGTTCTCGGAGTCAGGACCGCCGAGAGGAATTTTGGGGCCCGGGGCAAAAAAATTTACAACAATATCAAAGAACCTTAGAAATTAAAAAAACAATGACTGTCACTCGTACTTTCGACTAGTGTGCGAATGATACACTGAGCCCAGCATTTTTTAAAGGTGCTTTAACTTTAGGGTCTTTCTTTAGTCGGGGGCTCCATCAGGTTGGAGGCCGCGGCAAACTGCCCCCCTGCCTCCCCCCTCGGCGGTCCTGCTGAGAGTAGTTCGCCATCTTAGATGGCACGAGTTTTTCAACCGACTATATTGTGACTATATTTGTGACAACTTACAAGCCTGGCTGGAAACTTGGAACTTCAACGACTTTCAGATCAGTAGCTATATATTTTTTTGTATTTACATGGATTTACACTGAATCGTCCCGACTCAGCACTTGATAAGTCGTTGTTAAGCTTGGTTGTCTTCTTCATTGAGTGAGCACTGTGAACACGTTGTGAAATACGGGAATTAACCCTCAGTGACCGCGTACTAGATGATTAGACCAGCCTCGTACCCAGGCGCTTTAATTAATAGTAGATATATAACGCAGGGGTGGTTTTCTTTAGCGAGGAAGCATCTGAATCTAATTGAATACTTACAGTAAATAATTATATTGTATTGTATTATATTATATTGTATAATTCATTTGATTGTTTGCATGTTGAAATCTGATTTTCTGCCAAAACAAAGCACACCCACGCTCGCGTTTTTTCCACTGTTTTTCCAGCTTACCTCCATACCATATCTTTTTCGGACTCGATTCGTCGAAATATGGATCAGGGCCTCTTAACAGGATCGGTTTTTGTAGACCTTAGCAAGGCATTTGATACAATTGATCATCAGTTGCTATTGGATAAATTACGAAACTATGGAGTAGAAGATCTTGAAAATGCATGGTTTGGGTTTACAAATTACTTATCGGATCGATCACAGATAGTCAATGTAGGAAATGGAACTTCTCAGCCGTGTGAAGTGCCTTCTGGAGTGCCACAGGGATCAATTTTGGGGGCTCTTCTATTTGTGCTATTTGTGAATGATACAGTGATATTTTACGCATCTAAAGAAGTCTCTGAAATCGAAATGATCTTGAATAGAGAATTATCTGAGTTACATGAATGGCTTTCGAAAAACAAACTTTTTCTCAATGTGAAGAAAACTGAGTGTCTGTTATTAGGCACTGCATGTAGCGGACTTTCTAAAGTCGATAATTTTACCATCACTGTGGGAAATTCTGTTGTTCGTCGAGTGACTGAATTTAAGTATTTGGGTCGGTTATTATGGATGAATGTTTACATTGGAAATCGCAAGTTGATGCAATTTTCTCCAAAGTTAGTAAACGAATTGGTATGTTAAGGCGAATTAGGAATGATATCACGGTAACCTGGAAATGCAGCAGATTCAATGTATAAATCTTTTATATTACCAAATTTTGATTATTGTGACTCAGTGTGGAGTGGTTGCAATAAGGTTGATGCTGAACGTCTTGAGAAATTACAAAACCGTGCAGCCGAAGTTGTTTATTCATGTCGATCAACCCAAGTGATGACGCGATAGCTTTTCTGAGATGGCAACCATTACATAAGAGACGGGAAGGGCACGTGTTAAACTTGGTTAAGAAATCCTTGAACGGAGAAGTGCCCCAATTTTTGATGAACTATTTCACTTTTAATCGTGATACTTGTACTTGCCAAACTAGGCAAAGTAATCAGCTCCACCTACCAAAGGTGAAGACGGAGGGTGCAAAACGATCCTTTTACTATAACGGATGCATAGTGTACAATAATTTTAGAAAGTAGGTTAACCACGTGTCTTTTGGCACAAATGTATATATGTATATATTTGTTATTTCTTAGTAATTCTCTCTATGTAACATAATTAGTATTTTTTATTGCAATTGCAGGACCCCTATTGATACCAGCAACATTTTTTTTTTACTATTCTAAAAAGCGCCTGGGTACGAGGCTGTGATTAGACGAACCGGGTGTCAAGTTTTCAAGATGGCGGATGAAAATGATCTTGTAAACGTAAAGGTAAGTAAAAATTTATTGAACCATGAAGTCAATATCATTTTAATCATACACTCGCGTACTGTACCTTTTATTATACCTATCGATTTGTTCTGATGCAACAACATGGTTTTAATTGTGTCAAATAATTTGTTCATTTGAATACTTTATACGTGTATTCTTAGCCTTAGGTATATTAAAGACTAGTATTTATATGCATATATACATTTTTGCGACGTGGCTATATTGTTAGACTAGCAATATATCGAGGCAAATATATAATTCGATTGGTAATTGGGAAGTAAGAACGTCGACTGTTAAATTTCTTGCTTGAAGGACATTAATATTGTTGAACCACTTATCACTTATATGAGTTATATCTTACAAAAATTTCATTCCACAGCCTATCAACAGGCAACAGTTTTTTAGAGCCCTCACAACAGGAGGAAGCTATATCATGGTCATCAAAATTTTTCTTTTTACTTAACTCTGCCAAATCATTAAGGTTGTCACAATATTTGCAGTGTTCTGGGGCAGTTCTGCTAAGCAAAACCATTAGTAGGATGTTTAAATTCTAATCACATTCACAGTCAATACAGATCTTTCGAAAAAGAGCAAGAGGTCTGTTTCGAGTTACCCAAAAACAAGGCTAGTCAGATTTTCTCTTCTGAATTTAAAGTCATTTGCTTATTTTCTCACTTTTTCGCAGGACCTGTTGCAAGCTACACAAAAACAAAGTTTTTCCAGTCAAACTTTAAAAATATAAAATTGATTTTGAAATTTTGACAGCAGAAAACCTGACTAGCCTTGTTCTCATGTAACTCGTAGCAAGCCTCTTGCTCTTTTGGAATAGGTCAAAACCAGGACTTGGGGCCTAGAGTATTTAGATGGATCCCACAATTGGTATTGCAGTGACTGCAGAGTTACAATACAGTGTCCATTTTGTGAGCATTATAACTACAAAATTGATTTTTATCCAGTAAAATGGCAATGGCTTACAGGTTCCTTCTCATTTATTGAAGCTGTACTCATATTAGACATATAACAATTTTAGATAAATGATGATATTGATCCTGAGAACTTTGGAGGTAAGACTTCTTTGGTTGGAGGTGGATTCATTATTCTTTTTATATCAAGTGTAAAAAAATCCCTATATATTGCTCGGCTGATCTTCAAATTAAGACTTTATAGTTTTTCTAAAAAATCAATTTCATTTATACTGCTTTAGACACTTGCTGCAGTTTTAGATTTTTTTCAAGGATACAACATATATTTTTACTACCTGTTTCGTTGCCTATTTGAAGCATTCACTTATTCTCAGTTTGTTACCATAATCCTAGCAATTACACAACAATTTCCAGGTTTAAAAAAAATTTTAAAAAACCTTGAATTGGTACGTGATTGTCTATTCTGTTTATTTCGTGTTTGCTGTAAGAATGCATTTTATTTTGAGCTTGGTATGTCGTTTTGCGAAGACCTTACCGAATATTTAAAGCTTTACATAATTGTTTTCACTTGAAAGGGAGTTCTTGAACGTGTAATTCGGAGTTTTGATTCACTTAATTAAAACTCTTATAGAGTCAACTGAAATCTGTGCATGAATTCAATAATCGAAAAACAACTTTCGACGTTTAGTATGTACTTGGAGATTTAAATTATTTGCGCTGTTTTGATGTTGTGAAGGTTTAGCTATAGTGAAGTATTAACTTTCACTTAAACTCTGAAAGTCTGTAAACTGCATGCAACATACCTAATGCTGTAGTAATGCAGCAGGAAAATGGGCGATTTCACCTTTACAACTGTGTTTGTTTCCGAAAAATTTGAAACAAGCAAATATTTTGCTTCCTTTGAAATGCGCTGCTGCATGCATGTATTTCTATAGCAGCGATTTTGTATTTTTTAGATTATAAAGAAAAGGGTGATGAAGAGAAAAACATGGACAATTTGGGAAGCATGGGATCAATAGATGACGATGAAGGTAGTCATGGTTCGGGTTACTAACTCAGTCTTTTGGTTTATATAATGACCTACTCTTAGTGATCCTAATCACAATATGCTAAAAGGTCGTTTTTTCTATTCCATTTGCATGAAACACAAGTGAAAACATTAAACATCAGGAAGCAATGTTGGTCATTGTAAGGTGGCAAACATGCAGTAAAAGTGTGTCTATATTTTCTTTCAGGAGGCCATGATGATGATGATGGTGATGATGACAGTGACACCGCTGAGGTAAATGTTTTAAAATTGCATGATCTATCATAGTTACGCTTATGTATACCTGCATAATATGCTGTAGTATGTGATATTCTCTTCAAATGTTATCAATCTTCCTATAGAATATTGCTAAAATGTCTTTCATAGCTTCTTTCGGGGAAAAAGAAGACGCCGCCTTTTTGGACCTTTGAATACTATCAAACATTCTTTGATGTTGATACCGCACAGGTATTATTTTTGTTTCTTTTGTCGTTATTATTTTTGCCCTTTATTTCTCTGCCTTTTTTACGAAGGATTATTAATGTCTAAGTGCTCAATATTCGGGGCAATTTTTGTGAACGGGGAAATCGAACCGATTACCATACATACTGTATATCTGCTGAAAATTGCTTTAGAAAAAATACTTTCCGAATTCCGACAAGTGATTTTACAGACTTTATTCATCGTTGAAGTTTTCTTCACGAGTAGGTCGAAACCATTCAGCTCAATGGGAAAGAACGCCTAGTTGAGAAGTTGAGAGTATTGCCAATCGACCAACTTTCTAAATTGCTGTATTTATTTATCAAAGGTCTTGAGAAGGATACTCGGTTCTATGGTACCTGTCCGAAGGAGAAATTTTCTCACAACACAAATACGATCAAATCCTGATCTATATGGTAATCCTTCTATCGTTATTTCTGATTTTCTGTAGCTATCCAAACTGAAAATTTCCGTTGATGAGATAGAGTATAATTAAGAGCATATTAATTTTAGTTATCATTTAAGTAAGAATTGCACCATATTTAACCTTCACTTTGGTAGCAGAAAATTGCTAGCGGTAATCCTTTGTGGGCAGGGCTCTGTATAGCTAGACCGCTTAATTGGGGGGTGTATATTCTTATACCCATGTTTATATACCGCAGGAACAATAGCGTACAAAAAATCAATCGGGCATAAAACGAATATATACCCCCTATTAGACTTCTAGCTACGGCCCTGTTTGTGGGATATTTATTGCATCATGCTTCTTCGTGGAGTTGAACGGCCTAATTGTTGGCCTGTTAATAAATAATGCATCGCACGCAACAGATGGTCAAAAAACAGGTCACAGAGATACTGCGGTCATCGATTCGAGGCATCCATTTTATACCTCACGTGTAAGTATGTGCATTAATTGGCAATTTTTCCCGTTTTTTTTTTTCAAAGGTCCGTTTTGGGTCTGCGCCACCCTCGTGGTTACCATAGCAATATCGGGAAACCTCGCGAACTATTTGATTCACTCTGGTGAAATCCAATGGGCGTACGACTTTCACAAAAGTAAGTTTCACATTGATATACATAGCAGATATAGCGATTCGCGATATTAGAAATTGTTTAAATATACGGAATGTGCATGTTGATGACAAGTGGTTTCTCTTAACCAAGATGGCCCTATTGCAATGTGCAAGTTTGCATGTACGTAAAAATCAATGATAATTATTTTAGTCACCCTCGCTGCTGTCGCTATATTTGGCTACGCCTGGTTGGTTCCTGTGGCTGTATGGGGTGTGCTGGCATGGCGTGGAAACACTTCGGGGTATTCATTTTTGGAAATAATTTGCGTGTACGGCTACTCGTTGTCTATCTTCATTCCAATATCGGTAGGTTGAAAGCTGCTTAAAGTGTATATTTGAATATATATACAGGGTATCCCAGTAAAAGCTGAACCCGTATATGTGAAATTATATTCATATCGACATAATTATTTTTCACATGCAGCAGTTTAAAACTTATCAAAGCTATGCCTCTGGGAGTTCACATGTTTTGATCTCCTAGATGAATAGCTTTGTGATGTTTTAAACTGCTGTAAAAATAGCGACGTCAGTGTGAATATAATTTTAGCGAATACAAAATTAATTAATTCGGGTTCCGGTTTGGGTCGGTACGTACCTATATGAACAAGCTTTCCCATTGGTTGATGATAACAATAAAACAAATGAACTATAGAAATTGATTTCTAAAAGAACGAATCATAAACACTGATCACTATTGTTACAAAAAGCCAATCACAAAACTCGTTCATATTAGGTAGATACTTACTGTCCGGTTTGCTGGGACACCCTGTACATGGGTATTTATATATTCCGCTTTTGATGACTATTACTATCGTTGTCGGTATTATCGTTGTTGTTGACTTGTAAATATTGTTACCATTGTACATAGGCGTACGAGGCGGAGGGGACTGGGGGGGGGGCGGCAGCCCCCCCAGTTTAGTCAGAAATATTAATTAGTCGGGCAATTTGTATTTACGAGTCGGGCAATTTATACTTAAGTGAATTTGGTCTCCACACTACATAAAATTTTTTAAGAATCCTCAAATATGGTAGAATATGGTAGAATATATACGCTTGCAGCTTGCGTAAACCCGAATTAAAGGAAACGAAAATAATTGAAATAAACATGGTTAATTTTGCAAAATCTCACGCGAAAATGCAGGAAATCACATTTGCGGGTCTCTAATTTTCAAAAAATCGTTCGGGGGGGGCATGCCCCCGGACCCCCCTAGTATGGCACACGCTTTCGGCTTTCTCATCTCGGCTCTCCAAAACACTGACTCTAGCTATGCCGCTGCCTAAACTCGGCATTTCAGCGTTTGTACGTTCCAAAATACCGGGGGAGCAGACCCCTGGACCATCCTTGTTTTTCTCGGTCTTCGGCGCTCGTCGGGCAGAATATCCCCGCCCCCCCCCAAAAATTTCTAGGCCCGTACGCCTATGCCACTGTATCATATATTACATTAAAAAAAGACCAAATTCGAAGTGTGACTTGAAAAGGTTAAAAAAGTTCCTGCATTTCATTCAAAAGGAATTCCTTTTACGTGCTCTTTTTCCAAGGCTCAGAAACATCTGCATCACCTGACATTCGAGTATTGGAAAAAATTCAATTTCGATCTAACATTTTTCCATGAGGAACATTTTCTCTTAGAGCATAGGATTGACAACTAACATTTTTGCTTATTCATTATCTGGTGTTGGTTTTGTAGATATTGTGGGTGATACCGATCGAATTGGTTAGATGGGTCTTGGTTATACTCGGACTTTGTTTATCCGGTAACGTGCATGTTGAAGCATGAGAAACTCTTTAGTTGGTGTTTTTATACGCCAAATATAGTTTTGTAAGTTAGGGCCTGTTTACATGGAGCGAGTTATCCCGGCTAGGTGAGGTAAAAAGCTCATCATATCAAAGGCTTAACCTGATTAATCTCTCATTATATGCAGTTTTCACCTGGCCTAGCCGGAATAACTCGCTCCCTGTAAACAGGCTCTCAAGGCGATTCTCCATCACCGTTCGCTTCACCCGCGCGGGCGAAGCGGCCTTTGAAATTCTGTCCATGCGACCGTGACGGGTCGGAGAATCGCCTTTATTCGTCTATTAAACGGCAAAGATTGATGTATGTATAATAATGCTCTATTTTAGGAGCAGTTTTGGTTTTAACATTTTGGCCTGCAGTAAGGGATGACGACAAGAAGGTAACACAATTTTATGTTTTTTGTTGAATCTCTTTCACGAATAAGTTCAAACGAAAGGCGGAACGCAGAGCAGAACGGTTAGTTTTATCCTGCGACCAGTGCTGTTCCATTGTTCCCCGAGCCCGCGATTCATCTAGTTTTTGCGGGCAGTCTTTTTAAATTCACGTATTGTCAGAGCCTGAAGAGCCTACATGATTAATGACGATACGTAAACATCAGAAGAGCACCTAGATTATCTTAACCTGGGGGGGGGGCAACACTCGACGAACACGTGGCACTTGAAGCGCATTTAAAGAAAGAATATAAGCAATGTCAATGAGAATAAACTGTTTTTACAAAATGGAACGCGATAGGAATTTCTCGGTGAAATGCCTCAAATGTTAGGCGTTTTAGAAGTGTACATAGTTATCGATTGGACGTTTCAGAATTATTTCACTTTAAGCATTAATCAGTGAACTGCAATAAATAACATTTCATTTCACTGACCTTCGTGAGTTTTATCGTTATTTTCATTTCACTGACCTTAATGAGTCTTAAAGTCACTTTAAACGTTAACGATTTATCAAAAAACTTGTAAATCATCGCAACGGCTAAGCAAATTGAGCAAAATTATGCTTTTTACCGACGCTTGTGTATTATTACCGACCGACGTAGCCGCCCCGCCCTTAGTAAAAGTACTTTTTTTAGTTATAAAGATTTACTGTATAAATCGTCAGCCTGCCTATTATATTTTTAGGTAGCTTGGACTATACTGTTCGTGATTTTTCTTCTTCATGGCAGTCTGGCAATTGGTTTCAAGGTATTGAAAAAATAATCTACTAAAACTGGATACATTATGGGGTAACTTGCCTGGGACACCGGATATTTTTTCGGTCGGGAAATTTTGAAAATAGGCTCGGGAAACCTAGGTTGTTCTTCCAGCTTATGCCACGCATGCAGGCAAACTACTTAAGAAACGTAGTGATGCAGCAACATTTGTAGTTGCAGTTATATTATAGGATATACTTATATACTGTTTGTATATCAGACCAGCAAAGCCTCACCTCAGCCCAGGCAGTGAATGCAAATATTTTTAAGGAAAATTTGTGTAAACTAATTCATATCGTTTCCCTTTCCTATGTTGTAGTTGTATTTTTTCCACGCTCCTCCATCAACGACGGAGGTAAAAGCCAAAAACTTGCCGACACCACGACCAAGTGAATCCCACGTAACACATCCCAAAACCAAACCAACAACGAGGCAAAAAACATGGAGGAAAAAAACAATTGCGACGACAACGGAGAAAAACCGTATAGCTACATAAAGTTGTGTGATAACAATTTTGTTATCCGTGCATATGCGGTTGTGAAGTTAGACATACTTAAATGTATCGTGCGCAATGTAGATAAGATATTAATTCCAAGTTTGGGGAGCAAAAACAAACAAACCATTCTTCCACGGAAGACGAAAAGTTGTCGATTTATTAAAAATAGAATTTGGAATGAATTTGGTATTCCTGTCCGAAAAAATTTTCTTCGATGCAAATAATCACTCTAACGCGGGGGGTATAGAAAAACAAAACACATTCGCACGTATTAGCCAAAGTTCAAATTGTATTTGCATTATTCAAAATTATATGGCAGCAAGTTTTCAAAAACTTCGTACATCGTTATTCGGCAGGCAAACATATATTTTTCTCATGCACGTGCATTCATGCAACCGTGATCACAAGCCCCTACGTTATGTCACGCGATCCCTTCGGTCCTCAGATCAAACGCCCGACAATCAAAGCTGTTCCATGCTACTGCCATGGAGAAACGGCCCGAATCTGTACACGAATTACCGATTATATACTATATAGCTTTCGGCCGATTGAGGGCGAGTCTTGCTAGGATATAAGCGGGCTTCGCGCCTAAGATGGCTAATGGTCGGGAAAATCAACCTTAACTGTAGCTTTGGATATACACTAAAATCCGCGTAGGAAGAAATTCAAGTTGTTCTCATCTTTGCATCGCATTTCCCGGCGTGCTCTCCCCATAGCCACTGCCCCCGTGCATGTTATACGGACCATGGTTGCCAACAATGTAACCACCCTGCATTCCGTTCATTAGCATGCCGCCAGATGTCAGTACTTGCCCTAGAAACAAACGCGAAATGTGCTATCATACTCCGCTTGTATTTTTGATTGCACTTGATCAAATGTACCGTACTTGCACAAAGAGCACGACTATTGTATGACTTTATTAAGGTCTGTTCACAAGGTCAAATTTTGTCGGATCCAATTCACTTCCGACAGTTGTTACTGTAACACATTCCTTTCCATACGTCAGAAGTGAACTGGTCAACAAAATTGGATCGTGTTAACAGACCTTACAATAAGGTTTTCTTACAACTTACCGGTTGTTTTTCGGGCTAGAGGATAAAAAGGTACTACCTTCCCAAGGGGAGGGGTAAAATTAACAGAAATACCTTGAAGGCCTAAGGCATTAACACCACTCATTCCAAAACCAGCATTGGACGGAACGACACCATTACTAAGAACTCCGCCTGCCGTCAGATCGTGGTTTACAATGTTCAGAGATGAACCGACGTTGTTAGGTATACTGGACCAATATGTCTCTGTAGGCGAAGTTGTATTGCTACCTGTGGGTGGGTTAGTCTGCGCACCAGTATATCTGAAGTACGGATTCTTTAGGTCCAGGACGTTACGAGAGATAATATTCGATCCATCTACTGTTACTTCTATTTCAACGTCATAACTTTGTCTGAAATTTGCAGCAGTGGTTTTAGTGTTTACCAATCTTGTTAGATTTCAAGCGCGCAATGCGTGACGGTAGTTGATTATCAAACAAATTTGAGTTGCGATATTGCTTTGCTAGAAGCGATTTTGTTTGTAAGAAAACCTTGCCGATTCTTTTTGCCCCTTTGTTAAACTAAATCGCTCCTGAACATAGCGAAATAACAACTTAAATTGACCTTGATTATCAACTACCGTCACGCATTGCGCGCTTGAAAGCTAGTAGGGAAAAGGTCTATCACAGTGCGTATACAGATTTAAAATCTAACAACAATCCTTACTTCTTATTGGCAACCAGTAAGACGTGCCCTCGTAATATCTGCCCAGTCCTCACATGAACCGGGTGAGGTAGCAAGCATCGAACCTGTGTTCAAAAGTGAATTATTTGATAACATGTGAGATTAGTATAAGAAACACGAACTTGCAAGGGGTGAACATGGAACCTGTAAATTTCATACTCGGCTAAAGTCTCTGTTGAATCTTTTTGTGTACGTCTACACAAAACAGAGTGAGAACAATTGACCAAAAGAATCACGTAGCAAAAAGTTCCATCATCAAGCTTGTTAAATCATTCAACTGAATGTACTGCCGAAGTATTTACACAGAAAAAAATTTCAGATACGTCATGGAGCGTGGGTAAATTTGCATTTTTGCATTTGCATTCAAAAACATTCAGACCAGGTTTTTATTGACTCTACGGTAATCAATGTTTAGATATAGAGATGTATGTATAAAGCAGCAATTATTCAAAGTTCTTTCATACCATTAAAATATACATGATTCGACAAAACGATTTAACCAGATTGGTGTAATGCGGGTAGACATATTCGCAAGAAGAGCATGCATGCAACCAAGTTATCTAAACGCTAGTGCTAGCAAAATAAAAATCCAAGAACATATATAGTTGCATCGAGACTAGAAATATACAGAGGTTGGAAATTTAATTTCGCTTGCAGAAAATACATGCAATTTGGTACAAATGTCTTCTTCATCAATCAAGACGAATTATGATAAGAGCGTTGTCAGTAGTGGCAGCCACTAACATGACCAGCCCAATTACAATACTCGAAAGCTTTAGATGATAACCGGCAAAGCCTTATATAAATGAACTACATTGGTATGAAACGGTGACAAAAGAATGAATTCGCAACGTTTCCTCCACTGTTAAACAAAACGAACACAAATCGTATATCGAGGTACCACTGACAGAGGTATTTGAAACACTGAACAGATAGTGGGTAGAAAATCTTCATTTCCTATTGAGCCCTTATATTCATGAATATACCTTGTATAGCTATTCAAATACCTGGTACCAGTGGGTTAGAGGTTCTTGTGGAGCTGTGGATAGCCACACGGATCGCCTGAAAATGTTACGTTCATTAGTTTACCACAGGCTATACCACATGACCATATTGGTTATCAGGTCGTATGTATACCAATCGAGTATTTGTACCTATACGGTACGTTTGTTGCTCAATTTGCTCAACCACAACAGCAGGTAAAACCAGCGCTATCATATAGTCAAGCTTTAAAGAATCGGCCCTTCTAGGTTATCCTAGGTTTACGAAAGTAAAAATTTAAGTTCCCCAAATTAACAGCTACAAATGTTTAATATGTCCTATATATATCAATGTAGAATCTTTAGAAACTGTGCACTTTTAAATCAACGACCTTGCAGAATGCATATAAAATACAGAATAACGAGTCAAAATTGGAATAATTGCATGGTTGCTTCAATTAGAAATTGAGAATCAATTGAAAATATATAAATATTGTATAAGGCTGCCATACAAAATCGATTAGGAGAAAAACAGAGAATAGTGAACTGAATAGCGAATGATCTAGGAAGCTCTTTTAATACCTGATGCTATGGTACCATTGAATAGCTCAATAGCAACGTTAAGACAACGAAAAAGCCAAACACAGGCATGCCCGAATATTTTGAGAATATGCATTCAATTAATTTTACCAACTCTATATTTCCACATACTGTGGCATGCCAGTGATTTACATGCAACTTCGCCCTTGGTATATACCATACATAGTTGCCAGAATATAACAATTAACAGTGAATGCTGCTTGCACGTGTGGATTTGTTTTATAGTATCGTCTATTGTAACTCTCTTGCGTGTTTAGTAAAAAAGTTCACATCCAGTACTATTCTCACTATGTCTCCACAGGGGAGATAAATACGTTGTATTCACAAAAGTGAGATTACAACGTCTCAAATGTAATTTTCATGCATTTTCATGGAAAACCTTTCTAATGTTGCATGTTTATTCAGAATTATACGAATCGAGCCCCATTAAGCCCAACGAGTAGAACAGAAAAAACCCACATGAATAAATATAATATTAGGACGATGCATTTGCGCTTACGTTACCTTGACAGAACATTCGATGAAGTTGAACATATTGTATGTCGTGTAAAAACTTACGTCGTTCCATGGAATTCCACGTCAAACCAGAAAGCCAAGCCATGGACATTCCCAGCCGTCAGAGCAGTGAAGTTCAGTGGGATGTGTATTCTTAAATGGAAAATGAAAAAGAAATTACATGCATGGTAACTAAGTCAGGTAAAGAAGACAGTCCTGCGTGGGGAACGAGAAAAGGTTTGAAATCAGGTATTCTATTTTAGGTCATGACGTCATATTATTGAAAATACCACACTGAAAAGTGGCGCTGCATGTAAAGATTTCCTATCAAAATCACTGGAAATTTTTGGAAGTCCATATTATGGAAATAGTATGGGAATAATATAAAAGTTTAATATCGATATACTAAATGCAATTTCCATACTAAGGTTATATAGTATATGGAAATAATACATATGAGGATATGCTCTAGCACATTTATAGTGAAACCACTTTAAGTTCATATAGAATGAAAGAACATTTTTTTTATTTTTCATTTGCTTTTTTACTATTCACGTTAAAAGGTTTCTAAGCTCGTGAAAAGCTAAGTTAATTGTTTAGTTCATATCTTCTAATAAAAATGGAATGTCTTTAAAACATATCAAAAAGAACCTCAACATGCACAATTGGGTAATATGGAAGTTTTATGCAACAACAATGAGTTCAATCAATTTTCACGGCCTGCATGGTCAAACGATAAAAGCTTTGCTCCAGAATTGACAGGACTGCTAAACTTTAAGTGTAGGTATCGGATGATAAACTTACATTGTAGGCTAGAGTAAATTCGTACTAACCTGTGCAAATCCTCCTCGGTGCTAGTTAAAAAGTCTATTTTATGAGTGATAGGTTTCGCCAGCAAAATCTGTACATCAAATGTATCCTACAGTGAAAAATTACGGAACTATAGAAACGTACAGTGGATTCACTGTATATTAACTACGTAGTTACGACGTCAAATTTAGGATATGTAATGGACCACTTGCATCATGGACCAACTTTTGATTTAGGCGACAAAAAGGAAGAGGGCATACTAAACTTAGTATAAATTGCCAAGTTTCGCAGCAAAGAATTTTAAGGTACCGAGGATATAGCCAAGCGAAGTTGGCAAATTTTGCACGCCAATGAATATATTATGGCCGAAACAGTGTAACTAAATTAGGCTCCGTTTACACATTGTAAGTTGGTTTATTATGCAAGTGGTCCATTAAAGACTCTAATATTTGCACCGCACGAGCCAACATCATCAAACTGAATGCCACAAAGCAAATATCTTACAACAATGGGCTGTTTGAAGTATTCTTCGACCGCTTTTTCTCGTAAATGTGTAAGATTGACTCCATAGAACGATGGTTGGAACCTAAAAATGCCGAAATGCATTATGGATGGGTGTGAATACGTATGCCTACATATAGGAATTGAAATAATCATACCAGAAATTCGCTTTTGAGTAATGTTCCATATACAGTGCGTCATCCATGAATGGTGCTACGAACATGTTACCTTGACTTGGAAACATTTTGCCTATAAAAATGACGAAGCTATATTGTATTATCCACAATGAGACTTCGCCGTAGCCAGCATGCAGACATTTCACAAACAGGTTTTTACAGTTTTCAGGACTACATCTTAATCATTCTGTTGCAAAATAACTACATACTATATACAGCAGGTAGGACACACTTTAACTTTTCTGATGAAGGCCATTGGGTTGAAACGTCGAGAAGTTATTTTGTCTAGTTTAGGCAGTCATTAGATCTCATTTTTAACGAGCAAAATGCATACGATGGCTGAATAGTAAATAAATCACAGATACACCAAGACGCTTAAAGTCTAGACTTTAGGTTTATAGTGTCTGTCGACGCAAAATCTCGGCATTGCAAAGGTCATGATCAAAATTTGCATCGATTCACTTAAACTTATCAATTATTTGTTGAAAAATTGATCAATTGCAAACAGCGTGCATGAGTCAATCAACAACATTTTTCATTTTAGTGGTTGTCGACTGTAGTTTTTAGGCAAACGTATTGATAAATCTTAGACAGTGACTTGGAATACAATGATAATGACAGTATACTGTAGGATAATTTCCTATAGGATAATTTCTTAAAGCGTCAATGTTCGCTTATCTCACCACGTGTTGTTAATTTTAGTTAATGTTCTTGTTCATATAGTAGATATAATTATACCGACAGTAATTACCAAAAAACATATTAGGATTATTGTTGTCACAAGCCGAAAATGCCGCCCGCATGTATTGCATATGAATCAGCTGTCCCTTCCCCTTCAAGAATTTCATCGTTTTAATATTTATTTATACTATCGTAAACCTGTTGAACATACCATCAGGTTTCAACCATTTCTTCGCATGTAGAAAACTCTCAAGCATCCTTTCATTAACAAGCATGTACCCCATTGGTTCAGATATAATCATGTCGACTTTTTCGGGAATGTCCACCTATATACACAATTTATACAATAAACAACAATTCCAAATTCGCAAGAGTGCCAGAATATTGGTAAAATAGAGGCGTTTACTTATATTTTCTGTTGATTTGGAAATTCGTCAAATATTTTGGGAAACCCTTGAAAAACCTCCTACTTCCTGTTCATTAACCAATCACGACGGCCCAAGAACAAATTAAAACTTGATTGGTTAATGAAATCCCCAATAAGAATTGCTCAATAATAATAAAAGGCAAAAAATAATTGATCTGCGAAAGAATGGTCCAAATATTCCTAATACAAGACGCCTGCTCAGGCGTTCACTCGGGCTACAGTTATCTCGGTTGAGCTTGTAACGCCTAATTTTTGGTGTTATGGCATGTTCGTGACATCCTCGCGAGAAACGATCCTAGGACGATTTCGATTCGTTCAAAGACAAAGCATACTATAGGCTGTAAGCCGAATAGTAAACTCTCAATTATAAACTGACATTCTTTATCGCATTTCTCAATGTTATCTTTCAACGAACATGTAGCCAAAGGTTAGAAATATTCTGACATCGTAAATCATTGCATGTTTTCGATATTCTAGACATGCACAAATTAAATATACTGCACCTCCTCTAACTTGCCAGCAATAACATGCAGTTTGTCTTTTAATCCATTTGCTTTAGTCAAAGTCTACACAAAGAAGAACGTTGATTAAAAAGTTTTCTTGGGTAACGATTATAGAACACGTAAACTATACAGGGTTTTCATTAACTTTTATATAAACTCGTCTGGGGTCAAACTAAAGAGGGTTTCTATAAAACTAAATCTGTTTTCATTCGGAATTGAATGCATGCTCAAAGTAAAAAGGAAAGACACTGTGAGAAAACACACATTGCTGTCAGATGATAGCCAATGCAGTTTTCTGTTTTCATGTTCTACAAATTATGTAATTCATCAGTTTCACTAGTATGGCTATAAGTCTACATCATCTGTGTATAGAGACACTTTTATATCTCGCGTTAAATGCATTAAGTGGCGTTTATAGCTCAAATGGATCTATTCAAATTAATTTCAATTTTTCGACTGAAAGATTTTCGTTACCAATTTTCAAGAACCGACTAGTCGGCAGCAGATCAAACGTTAGTAATAATTCTAAAATCCAGAAAGAAGCCGTTCATTGTAAGACCACGGCTTCCAAATAAACATATCAACTTCATCATTAATCATACTTAATAATCTGAGTTTTATAATTTCATTTTATGGCGAAATCTGCCATTTACATATTCCATCAATATCTGTTCTTTTATTTTATTTATCAACAGCGTTTTTTATGCCTGTATAGATTCGTGTTTTTCCAAACGAGCCAAGGAGCCCATCAACTTCACAGCCTGTGATTGGCTAATAGCCATGTGTGAAATCGTCATGTCCAACGTGTGACGTCATAACGTGTGATACGACTTTTTTCTTGCACGTCACTACGTCATAACGTGTGATAAATACTCGTATCCCACGTTATGACGTCACACCAATGGCGAAAACATTAACGTCCGAAAGGAGCGGGAATGTGAAATCGAAACAAATTCAAGTGAACAATTCAAAGTTGTTATGGTTCATTCTTTTAAAAAAATAATAAAACAACGGTTTTCACATACGAAGAATTATCAAGCCTTAGTTTGTCATTATCACCCCAGCTTCGGCTGATAACCACAAACTTCGGCTTAATAATTCTTCATATCATGTTCAACCTCATTGAATAATTGTTACTTATTGCACTTATACGCTGCAACTACACTGCATGGTATATTTAAAATTTACGAAGATTAGCAATATATACAGTACATATATTCATTACCTCGCAGTGCATTGCCATTGTGCTGGCTTCAATAGCGTAAACTTTCTTTGCTCCCGACTGAATGGCAAAAAACGATAAAATGCCTATAAAATGAAAGATTCTTGCCATAAGACGAGAAATTTGATGGCTTCGATACATGGAGGTTTTCATTAGCTACATTACTGCCATTGGATGAATTCGTCTAAGGTTTATAGTGTAATTGAGAGTTGGCGTCAGTCTACTTTAGAGTATGGAACTTCTTGTATATATGTATATATATATATATATATATATATATATATATATATATATATATATATATATATATATATACAGTATTGGAATAAAATATGGAAACATCTTATAAAATATCCATTAATAAGACATTCCGTGATATTTTCTGTGACATGCAAACAAATCTTATTGTAACTCAAGAATTGTATGTAATATTAGTATAAGAAAAAGACAAACGCTAGACTTCCACACAGTTGAACTTTAATACTTAGTGTGAAGCCCTTTAGCTTTACACAGTTCATTGACACGACTGGGAACACTGTCATAAAGTTTTTGGATAAAGGCAACAGGAATAGTTCTCCAGATGTCCTGCAACACCTCCCACAGCTGCTGCAAGTTTGCAGGAGCTCTCTTCACTTTCTCCTGCTCCATGTACGTCCACACTTGCTCAATGATGTTCATATCTGGACTCTGGGCCGGCCAGTCTAGGACAGTCAAACTGCCATCTCGTGTCTTGTTTTCCAGGTATCGTTTGACTACCCTTGCTGTATGCTTGGGATCGTTATCTTGCTGAAAAACGAAGCTGTTGCCAATAAGAGCCCGCCCAGTGGGCACAGCGTGGTGGATGAGTATCTGCTTGTACCTGGCTGCCGTTAGGATGTCAGTGATCCTGTACAGACTGCCCACCCCACTGTACGTAATGGAACCCCAGACTTGTAGAGATCCTCCGCCATGCTTCACGGTTGGTAAAACGCAGTTTTCCTTGTACCTCTCCCCTTTTCGTCGCCGCACATACTGCCGCAAATTGTTTCCAAACAGTTCAAACTTTTTCTCATCTGTGAACATGACTTTTCTCCATTGGTCGGACGTCCACTGTTTGTGCTTTCTGGCCCATAACAATCTTTTCTGCTTGTTGCCCTTTCGCAGCAAAGGTTTTCGCACAGCTACATAACCTCCAAGACCACCAGCTGTCAAGGTCTTTCGAACCAGCCTTGAGGACACTTTTTTCCCTGTCGCAGCTTCCAGATTTCCTGCCAGCTCCTTACTGGACATTCGTCTGTTTCTTAATGACGTCACTTTCAGGTACTTTTCGTCTGATTTTGACAGTTTTTTCTTTCTTCCTCTTCCTGTGGTGTTTCTGAAATTGCCATTCCGTTCATGACGCTGGACACACTTATACACTGTGCTCGGCGACACATTCATCCTGTCAGCAATCTTCCTGAATGAGTAGCCTTCATCCCTCAGAATCTTCATTTGTACTCTCTGTACTCCTGTTGTCTCTCTCCCAGGGGCCATTCTCTTCTTCTTTGTTGTGAACTTTTACCAATGGGCACTAACGTAGTACATGCACTTAGTATTTATTCACTGAATCTGTGTCCCACGATTGTGGTAGTTTGTTAACCTAATTTATTAGCTAAATTTTGTTATAATTCAAACCTAACTTCAGTGTTTCCATATTTTATTCCAATACTGTATATATATATATATATATATATATATATATATATATATATATATATATATATATATATATATATATATATATATATATATATATATATATAATCGTTCTTCGATAACACTAAAAATAGTGCTCAATACTAAAAAGTAGAGCTATATTATTTAAAATCTTAAAACTATGATGTTTGTTCGCTAATCAGAGTTTCACTATCTATATAGATCGATCATCAGGCGATTATGTCCGTTTAATGTGGTCTCGATACCCGATGGCTATCCTCCCGGAAACTCGCGTTGTAATCTTTGTATTGAACAGAAACTTTGTGTCATGAAATCAAACCATGAAAACTTATTAAATAAACGATCGGAACTGTTTAGGAAATGTCCACATAATGACCGGTAGAAAGCTAGAAAATTTCATCGCGCGCGTGCAGCAAGATAAATTGAATATCAAGAAACCAAGCGAGAGAATTAAACCACATTAAAAGGACATAATCGCCTGATGATCGATCTACATAGATCGTGAAACTCTGAGTAGCGAACAAACATTGTAATTTTAAGATTTCGAATAATATAACTCTACTTTTCAGATCTGTATACATATAGAGAGAGAGAGAGCTAAAAGAGAGAGAAGGGGAAAAATATCAACCATTACAAACCATCTAACAATCATTATACTATTAATCATGTAAGCCAAATTAGCACCCACACTAACCACAGCGCAGGATTTGCAAAGTCATAGTAGGTCTATGCATATATCCTAACTACATTTAGCCACTAATATAGGTCCAATATAAACAGATGTATACCTGTACCAGCGCCCACATCGAGGACAACCTTTAAAAATAAGCAAAACCTTCAGTGTCAACGTTTCTGCTAAAACAATCGGAAAGGGTTTCTTGTAATCAGGAAATCAGGGGGGCTACTTTCATATTGCCAAAGGGTTATAAATTTCGAAATGTAAACATGTAGGAAAACACGCGGATTTGCTGCTTATTTATTTAGCGTAAGATAACGTGTAGTACAAAAATTACCTTATCTTTAAAATCCACTTCATTTTGGAGCATAGCTTTTTGATACGTAGATGTCCGAATGTAATCCTAAAAAAATGGAACTATTCTGGTAAAAAAGTGGACGTATGAGGGTATATATATAATATATTGTATTTGTTATGCAGTCTATCTACTGACACAACATAATCGCATTTGTATAATTTTGATAACTTTGTATGCTATTGAGATATAATAAGACAATGGTGGGATGATGGTAAAAAGTATTACTTCCCAAGGCTCAATAGACATATATAACCCTTCATCTATCTAAATAAAGTAATAAACACAAACACAGATCTATGAACTTTAAATTATCTGTGTAAATCTACATCATTTAGATATTTCTTCACATAACTGACGTACAAGACCTTGTTCACAGTTCTTAAAAACTCTGTTGTCTTGTTGGTATAATTTTGTATATGTTTGAGTTACATAACAAGAGGGGTTTGAACAGGCCTGACACTTTGCATGACATACCTGCATCATATTTTGTTGTTGAGAAAGATATCCATAAAACTAAAGTAAAATAGATACCGTATTAATTAACACAGTTTAGTACGTAAAGCAAGTAAATGACAAGTATAATGTGCATTTGTATTTTAAAAAATACAGGCAGGGGTTTGAAAGAGTGACAATGACATTCATAATTTTAGCCATACTTCAAGATACAGTATGTTGATGGAAATTATGGTTAAAGCATGCAAAACCTTTTCAATTTGCTGATCATCAATTGAAGATTTTGGAACAAATATCTTTATATAAAGGCAAATGTGAGGGAGGTGTCCTACTGTTATAATTCATACCTGGAAATACTGTACAGCTGAACTTTCTTCAGTCCTTTCTGAAAACACAGATTCATGCGAAGAGCCAGTACAGTCAGATATGACTCGTTTAAAATATGTCACATCTATATAACAGAAACAAGAAGCTTTTTCATTGATTGATAAGTTAATCTATTTTATTTACCCTTCAAGGCAGTTTTAAATTTACCAGAATAAATACTTCCTAAATGTGTGTCACAATATACATGTACAACAACAATTAAGTTTGGGGATTGACAGCATATCAGTTGTGTATAACAACATTATTTCCAGATAATCAAATCTTGATTTCTCTGGCAAACACTAATACTGTTTAAACCACAATTAGCACATCAAACATATCATCTACATTGCATTTATGCATTATTAGTATTGTTGACAGCCAGATATTCAACATATTCTCAGAATTAGTAGGATGACTTTCCTCACAAAAATAGCAACACTTTTTTACCCATTTAGTAGGTAAACAAAACTATAATAAAATTCACAACTTAATTGTCATGCACCTAATAAACATGCCAATTTGATTATGCAACATTTTCCTGGAAATGCACCTAGATGCATCTTTAATAGCATTTTACTTAGTTATATTTTAGTGTTCTGTGCATTGATGCATGCCAGCATGCTGCTCTTTCAGTGATATCTGTCAATGTCTCTAACTCAAGTATTTCTTGTGAACACATCAAGATTGCATGGGTATGTTATTGACTGTATTGACACCTAATTTGAGTACATAAAAGGCACCTAATTTGAGTACATAATAGGAGAAGTACCCAGGCTATTTCACACAGTTGAAAATGACTCGCTAAAACTGTTCATGACATGAAGACTAATTTCATAAAGAAAACAGGGCTTCAGCTGGTAATCTACCCAAGAATATATATATATTAATTATTTCACTCTATTAATGCCTCAGGATTTTACTTCATTAATTGCCCTGTTGTGATCACAAATAAGAATATGTCAAACATGAGCGCCAGCGTTGCAGTTTATGGGGTTAAACAATAACTACAGGAATGTGTTTATTTTTAATATTCAAAATATGGCGGCTGAACACACGAGCAACATGGTGGGAGATAAAATCGCTTGAAGCTAGCCATCACGTTTTACATGGATATATCTTATTATTTACACAGGAAAACGTATGAACCGAAAACGTACCTTGCTTTTTGGGAAAACATATCACCGGAGAGAAATCCTTCAAGTTGAAAATATAAAATCGTTCGCCGGCATGAAAATGGCCCGTTTCTCGATTTACAGGGAATCCCAACACGCTCTGATCGCCTGTGGAGACGAGCAGAAAGATAGTATATTGGTCTTGACACAGACATTACACTAGAATATGACTAAATATTCATCACGATGACGATTTTACTTGACGAGGTCCATACATACCGTCATGTATGTCGACCGAACACTGTGTGTCATTATCCGACCATATCACTACATCTACCGGCCTGTCGTGGATTTTAGCGAAATCGCCGTCCTTGTTCAAAACCTTTAGTGTACAAGCTTGAAAGGCACAGAGCTTTCGACGAGACGGTTGTCCATCCATCGAATTTTCCTCCATCTTTTATATAAACATGAGCTGAAGTGGGAAGTGCGAGAAAGGAATAAAAGATCGTCAATGTGATTATGAGTGCGTGTTCACTTCGTGGGACCACGTGCTATCAGGTTCGTGACAACATATCGTGTTCCACCCAGTGGTTCCACCAGTGTGGTTCCACTGATCTCACCACATCTCATAAGCCGTGTTTTTTAAACACTAGAGACTGGCAATACTGAAATTAGTGAAAACTGAAATGCATAAATTAATCCCGCCCCAAGAATTATGGTGTACCAACATGCATTGCCTGAAATTCGAGAGACGCATGCACGTCGCCCGTCCGTCATAGACAACAGGATTTTACTTTATTTTGACTTTTCGTAACAATGGCTTAATCCAATTTCAATGTTTTAGACATCCTCGTCCCCAGGGCCACAGACTTTTCACTTTGCGCGCGGTGTTGGGCACGCAACTGCGCACGGCACACTGAGCTATATTAAATTCCTGGAGGACCGGCTCGTCATTTTTCGGTAACTTCGCCGCCATCTTTTTGGCGACACGATTTGGCCGCGAGCCGGTCCTCCAGGAATTTAATATAGCTCAATGGCACGGCACAACCTCGTACCCAGGGTCTTTACAAGGCCTTCCAAATAGCTATATGTTTAATTAAGCGATGTGTCTTATATTTCTGAGGTTAATTTTAATTATTAAAATTATTTTCCGTGTTGTACTTAAGAACTGGGATAACTCTTATTCGAGCCAGTCATGACTCTTATTATTAAAATACGGGATCATCAGTCTCTTGAGAACATATAATTGAGCGAAACAAAGTTAATTAGCTTCTAGCGACAATCCTGAATGGCTGGCGTCTTTGCCACTTGGTGCATGCAATGCCTCAATTTGTAGTTGCACGAAGAGTATTGATGCTCTGCATGTTACACCATGCAACATCTGTAGTGTTGGATATCTACCATGCTGCTGTGTATACTTCAATTCACTGCTATATCTTTTTTCTTTACAAGTTCTACCGTCTTGATAAGCTTCAAGAGATGGCCCTGATTATGTGCAATGCATGCAAGTACGAAATTCGTGGAGATAGTTACAAGCTCCTTTTAGCTAAACCAAACAGAAACTCTAATCAAACTTCTATTGTAATATTAAGAAAAGACGTTCTCATTGATCAGTAATAACAAAATTTCTATACGTCAAAATCAACGGGCTCAACGAGCATGCATGAGTGTGAATGCATGAGTTCTTTGAATACAGGCGAAAAAGTTCGAATGACGATTAATAATTATAAATGTACACTTCAATTCAACGTCGTTAATTTCATATAGTCTTTACAATACTATATATATATTATGTAGTTTATATAAAAAACGCCCCGTGAAAAGCAGCATTTCTTAAGGGTTGCCGTTTTAATATATATAATTCATACTGAAAAACCAACCATTCCCAGTCGCGCAAAAGTAATCGCATTATAGACAAAAGCAACTGAATTGAATTTCTGAAATATCTTTCACGGGGAAAATATAAATTATTCTGAGTTCTTAACATTTATAAGAGAAATTATGACACATGAAAAGTGTATAGACCATTTCAGCTTGCAAAACTTAAACATTTCATTTTGATTTGAAATGGATTAATGCAACCTGAAAATGTCTATTGCACTGCACCAAGTTCATTGCCATTGGAACTAAATTATTTATGCCAATATATGTTGTGCAAAAACACATCATCCTGTACAGCTGATACCGAATTAATGAATATTTTAGAACATTTCTAGCCGGATATTTTGAAAATTTGAGTTTACCTAAATACAATAATCTCGTATAGCTTTATAACTTTTAAGGCGGTCTACTATACCCTAAATCTCATTTTCATAAATCACATCGAAGTTTAACATTAGGATTCCAACGGAAATATAAGCATAGCATGCATGGAAAAGAAATGCTCGCATGTCCAAAACGTTCAGTAATATTACATTATTACTAGCTACATATCAATCTTTTACTTATAGTTTATTTACAATATGAACCGCTCTAACCTTATCTATGTACCCTGTATAAATGGCTGCTAATCAACACTAATATTTATATTCACAGTGTAACTGTTTACAGGCATGGCATGCATGGGGTAGATGGATATACAATCGTTTGAATTATGGTCACGTTTGTATATGGCTTATTTTTACAACATTTAAGGGATCGGCCCGCTGGTCTTCTCCGCAGGCAGCGTCTTACATTTGACGGGCATGCAGAGAAAGAGTGATCAGTTGAATAATTTTATAATATGAATTGGATAATTTAGGAAGCGATTTAAATTTGACAATCATGCACGCGTGAAAAGCAAATTTAACAAACGTCACGCCCCCACTCGGCTTCAAGACGTCTGATGGGGGTCTCCTCGTCCATAAGGGGTTTGTTCCCTCCTCTAACCACATTTTGCATAGTTTTGCATAGTTAAATTCTGGTTAACTCAGAAATACACAACTCTTATTGGCCAAATCTGTCCTTAACTATACAGTTAAAAGTTAACTAGTCTTTTATACAACAGACCTCATGCAGTTGTTTAAATCAAGCTCTTGCTAATAAATCATATTTCTGGTGTTCTCTTAAAAGAATCTTTGTAGAGTTCAGAAATTAAATAAGTTTACAAATTATCTCTCGCTATATCTAATTCTTCTCTCTATCGCTTTTTTTATTATTAAATTAGATACTAGCGCATCATTATATATATATAAATGGTAACTAATAGTATAGTGATGGATAGAATATTACATCCAACATAAATTAAACACAATCAAGGTAAATCAAAGAAAGCAAAACTATGTTTACTGTCCTTCACTATGAAGCAGTTGTGCAATTTCCAAGGGGAGCTTGAAGACCTGCAGCAACATCTTCTCATCTCTCTATGGCAAGACGTAGAATAGCAATGGTCGTATATCTATAGAACATTCTATATTGCGGGACGTATGCTAGACAGGATTGCCATTAGCAGTACAAGCAATAAACTTGGCCAAGATTGATTTGATCTTCCCGTTTCGTTCGCCGTAACTTTTTTCGTCATTGCTGCGAAAATAATGATACACAAAATATTGCTGCAGAAATTGAATGTGTAAAACATTTTAGTCTTAGCAGAATAGCTTAAGGTACCAATTGATACTTTTTTTATATTCAACTGTGACAGCTTTTTGAAATTTCACGGCTTGAATTACTTAAGGAACCTCCTTGAACTCTGCCACTGAATAGAAGCCTATAGTTTTTATCATGTTATGGTTTGAGATTCGAAAGTCTGAAATTATAACACTAAAGTCGGAGTAAAGATAACTTTTATGGGATCCAGACTGACTTTAAATTCAATACTATTACAACCTCGTTCCCTATTACACTATTGATTTACTGATTTTGCTGCATTAATTTCTACGTAACATTGACAGATTCTTGAAGAAACTTTGCTTTGAAATACAAAGAAAATGACCAACTAAACTGAATTTTCTCGAGTCTCATACATCTTCCATTTCATCCTGTAGTCATGATACTAAGTAAGCACCTCATGATTTTATACGAATACTTTGCACGCATGCGCACATTGTTGGGCTGACTACGCAACTGGAAAAGAAGTGGATAAACTTACGCAGTTTCACAGGTTCTGAACAAGATGTCTCCTTGTAACCAATTTCATTAGCGGAGCAAACTCTATATTTTGTTGCTGACTGAAGGTTTGAAATAGTAACCTGTAATCTTGTTATGACCTTTCGCTTTACCCAGGCCTTTTGGTCGGCGTTCCATTTTTCTAGGATATACTTTGTCGCATGATCCCCATTTTTCTCGGATGGTTGCTCCCAGAATAGAGAATAACCTTGGGTAGGTGGGTAATAACTGTGACCCAAGTTCTTTGGAGGTCCCGCGTAACCTGTTCAAACAAGTTTCAATACATTTCAATAGTCTCTTGAAGATGATCTAAAGTCCATTCTGCGCATGTTTTTGCACATAAAAAACTAAGCAAAATTCAGTAAATTACACCCAACACCCAAAACGTCTGCGCACGCGCCAAATTATGAAACTATGGTGGAAAAGCTGAATATCAATTTTTGAAACAAAGCATGTCCGTTAATTGACAAAATATATGCATGCTATAAGCGAAAAGGCGAAAATATACAAGACGGGTAGACCGGCGAAACAATCGTTAAAAGCATTATAATATTTCTAAAAAGTATGCCAGAACGAAATGGAATTCGTGTGAATTTTCTTGTTTTCAACGAGGTCTTGCACCCCAGAATATTTTTCGAAAACTATAGTTCAAACCTAAACTGTTGAGAAAAACTGCGAAAAGTTAAGCTTCTTCATTCATTTTAATTGTAACATACATCCTAAATTTCAATTATTGAGAGCACGAAGACTTCTCGCTTAAAGACTTCTCTAATAAAAGTTCGCGGAAACTGTCGTTGTTATTTGATAAACAAAACGTTTTAGACGATAAATTTCTAACAGCCACCTTTAACTCAAGTTCTTGTAGAATGCAACTTCTTCACAATGAAGTCACCCTTTTTTACCGCCATTTTGAACCTTAGCTTCGGAACATCTTTTTAATGCCAATTTTAAAGACAGCATTGACGCATGCGCAGCCCATCTTTGGAGTTTTCATCGGATTGGAATCACAAAAACATGAGAAAGCCTCTATTACATTCAGTTTCAGCAAATCTTTGAAACAAATATTCGGAAATTCGTTTGGAAACTCGCATGTTCGTTAAGTAGTTCAAATATTGAAATAAGTACTAACAAAGCTTAAAAATGAAGTACTAACAAAGCTTCTAATTCAGGATTTAAAAAATGATCCAATCAAATGCGTTGTTTGCAGAAACTGAATGTTGATTTAATTATGAATATTTGAACTTCGTAACGCACTTGCAAACGAAGCTCCGAATAAAATAACCTACTATTTGTCTGAAAGGTTTGCGGAAACTGACAGAAATGATTTTTCCAGCTTTAGTTAATTTTCCTGCGTAATTTATATCAAAGCCCAGGATCGTCGGAAGCGCGTGGGGGGGGGGGCTGCAGCCCCATTACGGGCAGAAGTGTCCGTGTAATCAATTTAGCGACAGATTTCCGGCCATAATACAAAACTACAGTAATACCTTTTTTTTAAGAAACAGCGAATTAGGTTGGACTGATAAAATCGTCATGATCACAGTGCATTGACATTGAAACTCGATAAATATTTTGAAGGTTATACATTATATTTTTCAACGTAACGTCTCATGGTGAAACTAAATTTAATGGGCGAAATGGGGACTACTGTGACCACGCCCTTTTTTCCAAATCGCAGCCCCCCAATCAAAATTTCGTTCCGTCCAAAATTACACGGGTGGCTTTTTCGAAGCTTAGTTTAGACTAAAAGACCCTGGGTACAAGGTTGGGTTTAGACGTCGCATTTCTTGTTTTCATATCCGTTAGGAAATTCGAACTCAATTTACGTACCTAATTTGGAGACTTTAAACCTTTGCGCAACACTCGTCAGCTTTGTTCTTGCTTCGCACCTATACTCGCCAAAATTTGTTTGATTTACGCTTTCAAAATTCAAAGTACTGCGGTTTTTTGGAACCAATAGTTCCCGAAAAGTTGACCCTGTCAATGATTTTTTGTACCATTTGAATAGTGGTTTGGTGTTTTTGTGGTGGATGACATCACATTTTAAATTAAGCCTTTGGCCAAACCATGATTTAATGACTTTCATCTTTTTTCCTTCATCGCTGAGAACCATATCTAGAACAAATAAATATACACGCTACAGAAACTTCTCAGAACGGACACGCAATACAGGGTGTTCACAAATGTCTACAAATAGCCCAAATGCATGAAATTAACCTCTACGAAGAATATGATTGAATTTGATGATTATCTTTATGCGGTATGAAAGAGCAGTTATTTAGCTTCGATATCTTTTTCGGCTCATAACAGCAAGAAATGACCACATATTTTTAAAATGAAAATTAGTGATTGAAATCAAACTTGCCAGATTAAAAGCAATATGAAGCAAATTTGAATTTCTTGTGAACTTTCAGTGCATGTGCGCGAATAAGATTGTTTATTCAATTCTCAGCGGCGAAAGAATGCGGTTTACGACCCAACAACTTTCAACACACAGTTATTTGCATGGTTGACAATATTGCATAAAAAACGTTGCTAGAACTAGAAGTAGAAGGCTAAATACCTCCTCTTTCTTGCCATGCGAAAACTAAATCGTTGAACTTGAGACACCCTTTAATGTTTAAAGGCTTGTTCTCATAGGGCGCTTTTCATTTAGCGGCCAAAATGGTCAGACCGGTCGTGTTTTATTTTATATTTTGACATAGGTAATTGGAACCAAATTGTAGTTCTTATATAGTTATAGGTTAATTTGTAACAATTGTCTGAATTAAACCAGCGTTAGGACGTTAAGGTTAGGACGTTATGTATATGTGGGCAAAAGGGGAACAAAATAAGTGATTTGTTGATTAGTTAATTGCGAATTGAGGGGTGTAGAAATAGAAATAAAAATAACCAGATGGGGTTGATGGAATGTTGTAATAAATATTCCTTTAATAAATATTCCTTGAATTAATATTCCTTTTTTGTAAACTTACGCTCTGATTGGTCGATTTGTACCACGTGAGTGAATGTTATATATCAACAACGCCACGGCCAGTGAAATGGCCACGGCAGTGCCGTTATAGGATTTATTGCACTATCAAAATGGCGGCAACAAACAAAAAATTAAGAGGAAATTAATGTAATTACACCGAAAAATACTAAACGGCCAACCGCTTGAATGTTTTTTAGTATCTAAAGGTAAGCATGTGTTGTTTAGTTAAGTTTAAAAATGATATAAAGTCTTTACGAGTTTACTCAAAATGAATATTAAAAGCATTATAAAAGCACTCTTTGAACTCGAAGTTCAATACTGCACTCGGCGTATTGAACTTCTCGTTCCTTGTTTGTGAACTCGTGCTTGTAAAACCCGATAATGCACTCACAGAGTGCATTAATCCTTAAATAGAGCATTTCGTTAAGAATATAGCGCCGCGGCTAAACTGGTTTCCCGCGTGCTAGGCAGATGTAAATAACGATATAATTGAATGCAGAGTTCTTGAAGCACTCTAAAATAGCTTTGCTTTAACTTCAAAAAGTGTAAAGTTAGGCGAAAATTTGATGTTCAGAGTTTCTCATGACTTGTGTGGTGTCCAACTTTTCATCAGTGCATCCAGCACAATTATCTTTGGAACCGTTCCTGGATGGATGGCATGCAGTTAAGGCCTGTTTATGAATACGTATACAAGCGGTACAACTGCCGGGCAAATGAATAAAGCGACGGCTACATCGGCTAACGCGAGGGCTGACGACTTTTTGGATAACATTTCAGAGTACGGTTCTGATAGGACTGAAAACTTTGTTTACATAGAAACCTTGAACCCCACAACAAAGTCAGAGGAAAAGATTTATAACTATCAAATTAGGGTAGTGTTCCTCTTGAGTTAAAATGTACATTAATACACACATATATTCTACCGCAATTATACCTAAAAACCATGCATTAAAGCGACATCGAACGAATTAACGGTTGTCGCGATCATGCAAGCACAAAGTGAAAATAATGCAAATCATATTTTTATTGCAGTTTTGTTTAACGAAGCTGAGATGATCTTAAGGTATTAAAATTTTGAGGTATAAAAAGTCTTTTTGAAGCAAAAGAAGCACATGTATGTTATTGTTATAGGATGACTACACGACTGCCAGAATCATGTTTTTTACTCATTTCAATAGTCAATGCAATACCTCAAAGTCATTTTACGCTTAGTTAAATTTTGGGTAACCGGGCTCATGGGAACAAACTCCTTAATAAACGTGTTGCAATGAAATCAGGCTGACTAAACTTAAAGTTCGACAGTGATTTCAATAGAACAATGTAAACACAGGGCCACGCTTGCATGGCTGTGTTTGTCTATGTTTTATTAAAAAATAATTATTTTATTCTTATATTCTGCAAAGTTTTCATCTTTTCGGAATTACAGTTCCGTAAAAGCTTAAATACCCTGCTGATTGGAATGCATGAGATTTATCATGCATATAGGCGCTTACTAGACAGAGGGCAGCTATCAATATGTCCATAAGGCATAGGAAACAACTCACATCTACGTGTAACAATTTACGTCAGTTACAAAATAAGATGTGGTAAAATTTGAAAAGCAACTGAGAGTAAGGGCTGCTTTCCAGTTACGCGTTTTTTATACGCACTTACACGCACGGAAATTTCTAAATGCTTCTAAATTTTTATTATTTAACATTTAGGTCTACAAGTGAACACTAAAACATGCGAAAAACTAAGTTCTTTTGATTTTTTTACTTTGTTTTTCCAAAGATAACATCTATAAGGATTTAGACTTTTACGTGCGTGTACGTGCGTATGAAAAACGCGTAACTGGAAAGCAGCCTTAAGGAATATTGTAGTAATGATACAATAGGTTATAGTGATTATGAGCATAAGGTTTGTGCATGGACCTGGCTAGCGTCGACAAGGTTTTGCACGGTTAATATATGGGACACGCATGCCTGGAATTACAATTTTAAAAAAAATTCTCAATTGCCTCCTATCATGGTGGCGTCAACTGGATGAGCCTCTTCCCTCAATGTTAGCTACGATTCGATGCAAATCCCTCTTCCTTTAATCCGACTGAGATAACGGGATGTCACAACAGTGTTAAATGTTCATACATGGGCATTTTTAAAATATTCACTGCCCCGTTCTCCTAAAAAGTGGAAAGCGACAAAAACAATGCGGATTTAGCTATTGATTATTTGAATTTTTTAATTTTTTATGGCGCACAATATTTTCTCCGCGTAGACGTGACGTGCATTTTTCACTTATAATAAGTAGCACCTTTTGAAGCGTGGGCCCAGTTCCGCGATACTAATATCAGTTTACTTCATGTTTCTCAAAACAACAGTTTGGTATATTAGAATAATGTGTCGCACAGTGGCATTTTGACGCACATTGCGTTTCTGATAGGATAACCTACTTTACGTGCTTTCCCTTCAACAAAAATATTCACGTTATTTACCTACGTGCATGCACAGTCCCTCGAGGAAAAGTGGAACGTACTCAATATAGTCACTCCTTTGAGTAAAAAGTTTTATATGTCAATAACCTTAGCCAGACACGTGGGCAATAATTATATAGAGCGAGGTTTGGCAATCGAATTCGGCCAAAAAACAGGCCAATGTTTTACCAACCAGATGTCTCACAAATGCATGAAAAAATAGAATTGAAGTATCTTTTAATATCCAGGGCCACGCTTGCGTGACTGTGTTTGTCTATGTTTTATTCATCTAATCTGGCTAGCCTGGATCAACGCTATTCGTAATATTGTTGTAATTGTCAAAACTATTGTGATAGGCATGCCCAAGTTAATCCCATCCCGTAGCTAATATTGTTAAAAAAATAATTATTTTATTTTTATATTCTGGAATGTTTTATTTTTTTCGGAACTACAGTTCTCTAAAAGCTTAAATTAGTTAAATACCCTGCTGATTGGAATGCATGAGATTTATCATGCATATAGGCGCTTACAAGGCAGAGGGCAGCTATAAATATAACGCCAGGAGAGGAAAAAGTTTCTATGGGAACGAATCTCCATAGGAAGCAACTCACATCTGCGTGAAACAATCACGTCAGTTACAAAATAAGATATGGTAAAATTTGAAAAGCAACTGAGAGTAAGCAATATTGTAGTAATGATACAATATATAGGTAATAGTGATTATGAGCATAAGGTTTGTGCATGGACCTGGCTAGCATTGACAAGGTTTTGCAAGGTTAATATATAATAATCTAGGCTGTTTAAGGGGGCTACACGCATGCCTGAAATTACAATTTGAAAAAAATTTTCTCAATTGCCTCCTATATCATGGTGGCGTCTACTGGATGAGCCTTCTACATTTCGATGCAAATCCCTCTTCCTTTAATCCGACTGAGATAACGGGATGTCATGAACCACAGTGTTAAATGTTCATACATTGGCATTTTTAAAATATTCACTGCCCCGCCCTCCTAAAAAGTGGAAAGCGACAAAACTATGCGGGTTTATTGATTATTTGAATTTTTTAATTTTTTTATAGCGCACAATATTTTTCCCCACGTAGACGTGACGTGCATTTTTCACTTACTTTGCACCTTTCCCAAACGTGGGCCCAGTTCCGCGATACTAATAATTTACATCATGTTTCTCAAAACAACAGTTTGGTATAGAATAATGTGTCGCACAGTGGCAATTTGACGCACATTGCATTTCTGATACGATAACTTACTGTGCTTCCATTTCATGCATTTACCTACATGCATGCACATTTCCCTCGAGGCAAAGACCAAAGTGGAACGTACTCACTATAGTCACTCCTTTGAGTAAAGAGTTTTATATGTCAATAACCTTAGCCAGACATGTCGGCAATATATAGAGCGAGGTTTACTAATCGAATTCGGCCAAAAAACAGGCCAATATTTTACCGACCAGATGTCTCACAAATGCATCAAAAAATAGAATTGAAGTATCTTTTAATATCCATAAGACAATAACCCTACCAGTTTAGCTCACTGCATGCATGTGTATCTGATATTTTTTATTATGATATGAGCTGTAAATTTTTCCGAATTAATTCAAATGCAAGCGCTCCCCTGTGAAGAAACGAATTCGTCTTTGTTTAGCGACACGGCGATATCAAGTCCATGAATAATTTAGAAACCGCGAGCTTTGTTGCGCTAATTGGAAATATTAAACCAAAATATTTCATATATTTCAATGTTTCTGTAAACACGAATAGAATTGAGATCTTTATCTATCGCTGTATTACTATAGCCAGCGGTTATCACGAGTCGTACATGATGTTCGGAAGGTTCTCACGAGCATCATCATATAAAAATATAATATGCGTTAGTGCACGTTCAGATTTCATTCAGCTTTGACAAGATAAATACCACAAGTTTTGCGATCTGTTTGTTTTCAAAATTACCAAAATTAATTGCGATAGGCAAGGATAGTAGAGATGTTATCCAGAAGTTAGCTGCACTAAATATAGTCTAGCGGATCTATATTGTCTTAAGATAAGCTTGTTAATACAATGTTTAATTTCCCATTCTTTACACTGTAAAAAATTGGGAAATTCGTTACATAAGTCAAATAACCAAAATACTCAAAATACTGATAACAACAAACAGTTTCATCTCTACGAAATATTTTATCTTTACCCGAATTGTATTAAAACAAGTAAAATTGTGCTCCTACATGCATATATCTGGACATGTTTCATCGCAAACAGTATGAGTCAGATTTTATTACATACATGCGAAAACATGCAGAACTGTCCGTCCCGAATGGCCGATATTTTAGCGACTTAGATAAATTAGTTTTCACTCTTTCTGATAAAAGAGTAAAATTGGACGAAAATCAGCAACGTCATCAACTATTCGGCTTTATAATCTGCATGCCCGCCAGGCAAAATGATGATTTTTTTGTAGTGAAACAGGTGTAAATTTCGAGTAGACATTCTCGAGACTCTTCAGTCTTCCCACCGCACGCATGCAACATATTTGTCCCACTCATGATGAGAAAGCAGTGATTGTTCCGTACACTACCTGCGAGACGTCGCGTTCAAGTAAAACGAGCAGCATAGGGAGAACAATGAGGTCAGGTTTTCACTCAAAGCACTCGCATATTTTATTTTTGAAACAATATCATATTTCGGAAGGAGTCGCTTCATGACCTCGCGGACTATATTTAAAATATATATTAAGCGTATAGCATTAATTAGACTTCCTGGCGTTAGCAAAATAATCAAACAATCATCTCGCAGACTTGACGTATACTACATTAGGTCTAAACTCAGCATTTGAGAAGTGCCTCGGACTCCAGCAACCTGTTATACGCAAGATTTCAAAAGTACAAATGTTCGAGTTTATTTGCCTTTCTGTATAAATTGTAAAGAGCAAATACGCAAGCGATTTGGCAACAATTATTTTCAAACTTTTGACGACAGGGTGGAAATTAAAATGTAATTATTGACTCACAGTCTGATAGGCCGTATTATAGCTGTAGATTCTGCACACAGTAAGATTTTACTTATATTTTATACCCACTTACCGACAACTTTGAGTAAAACCGAATGTTCTACGTGCGGCAGGTGATCCTCGGTCAATTCCAAAAGGACTCCGTATTCGTATGTGCGATTGAACTGAACATGCTGAATTGAAATAGACGCCTCTCCAAAGCCATTTTCGTTCAAGGAGATCTTGCAAACGTGTCGTTTCACATATTCCGGTAAAAGTGGGCTATACGCCATTACACCTGTTTTAACGATCTTGGACGCGATTCCATTCTTTGTTTTCGAACTCGGATCGTACCTGAACAGCTGAACACGAGAAAGATCACTGGTGGAGCGAAAAGTGAAGCTCCATTCCAATTTAATATCCTCTCCGACAAGGGGCTTCAAATTCTCCGGGGTGGATTCGAAACGAGGCTTTCTCGGGTCCGGTGTAGTTGTGCCTGTAAAGTACACAATATATGACTATACATTGCATTTCATTGGCGACAACACCTTAATATGATTGCTCATCGGCAATGTATGGAAATTTCATCATGAAAAAGCTATTTTTAAGAAGCGACGCTGTATCCTATTGAAATTGATTTCTGCATGTCCCAGGCGTGAAGTGCATAGCCCCCAGCCTAGTACTTTTAAAAATTTGGGACACATAAAATTACAATGTGGTTTTTGTCAAAGTTCGCCAAACACCCCTGTATAATTGTTTTTTGAGAATAATTCTGCATTAATAGAACCAATGAACGAAACGATGTAAGATGAGCATATACTTACAATCAACATTAAACATTGCAAGGAAAAGTGTCAAAATTATAGTATAACATTTCTCCATTTTCATCCTCGATATCCAAACGTTTATGCGAGCCTCGCGTTGTTTGACGACGACGCGACTATATCGGTCTGGAGTATTATGTAATAGAACTTGCGACGCGCTCCAATTTAATTTGTTTTTCTGTATTGCCACCTGACCTTAATAATACGTTGCCATACTCATCCCCGGAAGTGTGCTTCTGGCCTTATCTGAGTTGCAGCGACTGAATGTCTCGAGATGGCCGTGTGAACAACGAGGATTATGAAGCCTACAAGGAATTCGCTGACTCGTCTAGACACACGTACAAAGAAACACGGGCGAAAAATTCAAAATTCAAATAGAATGCGCGTTTTATTAAACCGAGCGCCAGTTAATTCGCCAATCTTCTTAGAGCAACTCGAGATAATGCCTTTTGGTCTGCTCGTTTTGATTATAATTATGGCGCGTTAACCGCACGACTTAAATTTATTCGCTTCGCTTAGATCGGCATTCGAGACCCGCCCGTATGGGATTTCACAAAAACCGCATCCTAGCAAAATCAAGTGTGTGTATATCATTAGGGCAACACAGCTATTTTCTTCCTTATCTGGCATTCGCCTAGCTCTGCCAGCACGCCCCACAATGTTTACTTATCGCAGTTTCTGCTTCTAGAATGCTTATCGCCGTTGATTCCTGGCCTGATTATCTTTGAAGGCTAATTAACACAGCAGTTCTTCCCATCCTTAAAATTCCGCTCGAGTTGGAAGTTTTTCGGCGTAATTTGCGAGAATGTCAGCTGCAGTGACACTCCGAATCGTTCCATAAATGGACAAAAATAGGTTTCATAAAACCATGGTGATTAAATATTTTTAAATATTTTGCTAGAGTTATCTTTGTTGAGGTCAATGTTCGGATCAAGTTGTACTGTACTCTAGTCTATTTATTACGTCACACATGTCAGTGTCACATGGACCCACATGTGCACGCAAGGCCCTCGACCCAAGTTGATGCACCACTCATCCATCTAGACTATAAGTAACTATAAGCCTTCTGAGAATTGTGCTTAAGCATGCTTTTTCAGTATTGGTAGCTTTAGGTATACGCTTGCTTTCAAGTCAGTTGAATTTTAATATGGCACAATGTTGTAAAAAATTAAACGGGATTTTAAAACAGTTATTCCGCGATTTAGAAAGGGTTTTATGAAATTCAGGAATTTACATTTGCAGACATATGCGTGACTGCTTGCAGCCTGATTTCCAGTATGCACGGTAACTGATAGTCACTGCACTTGTGTGTTTTTGTTCTCAAGGAGCCTTTACCGCCATAAAGATAACATATCAAATGAATTAATTAGGATATAAGTGAGTTATCTTCTGTTTGAACTTGAGTGAAATAAATTCATCACTAAAATATCTGTAATAAAGTCAATAAAAAGCCGATCTTTGTCGGGAAAGCGAATATCTAAAATTTCTATAGAAAAACCATCCAAAATGATGAGAAATTGTCCTTTTAAAAAGTTCTTTAATTTAAGTGGCTGTACTATAACACACTCGTTTGTAGCAATTATATATAAAATAATAGATATTATATGCAATAATATCTGCAATTATATGTAATAATGTAGATGTTATATGCAGTAATATCTCAGAGCGATCGAGAGCCTGCAAAACCACCTAATATTTTTTTACCGTTCATGTATCGAAAGCCCTGCCATGGCGTGTCTAAAAAGGTAACATCATGCAATTCAACATGCTGTCCGCATGCGTACTGATCGAGAATATTACGTTGGCAACGATTCAATTATTCACACAGCGTGGAACAGGAAATGTCCAGCTTTCTGAGGTAACTGCCTTTATAAATTCTTGTCGTAAAAAACAAGAATTCGTGGAATTATTCGCTTCGTTTCGCATGCATTCATTTGAAAAATTTTGATTTCGATACCGATCATGCATGCATGCAGTTTTATTTTATTCAATCCCGGCAGTATCACTCAACTCTGATTTCTTGCTATTGTGGAATACGAATTGTATCATTTGAAAGCTGATCATTTACTCTTTCGTTCTTTATTTCAATGATTGAGATCAGCATTCGATGCTATGCACGGCAGCGTGTTGAAATTGGGTACATCATTTTTTTATACACTGCATGTAAGCTTGCATTCATCATCAAAAATTAAGCGTGCATGATTATGGCGAGCTAACTAAATTACTACTAGCAATGTTTCATGAAGCAAATTTTTTTCTTTCAAATCTATATACCGCCGGTAAAAACAGATTTATGATAAACCGGTACATTTGTATATAGGCTGACATGAGATAATTCTCATGTAGCTATCAGATTTTAATCAAACTCGGCCAGTCAAAGTAAAATGAAAATGATTCTTTATTGATTACGTTTAGGAAAAATTAATAATGTGATTCGGGGATATCTGAAAAAAATTTTCTTGTACGCGCAGTCTTCCTTTCATATTTTCACACGATTCAAGAGAGAAACGCTTGCCAGCTTCAGTGCGGCAACCTCTTCAGCAGGCTATTTACTATGAGCAGGCCCATCCATCATGACTATGATATTAATGACACTTACAGATCAGTGGCGACAAAGAGAACGATGCAGTCACGCTGAGTGAAACTGCTACTAGAATCAGTGGAATGTTCGCTCTTGAACGAAAAATTGCTAGAAACTAAATCCCGGCAATAATGTGTTGTACGCTCTATATAGCTACAAGTTATTCATTTTCGCATATACAGACGTGATTTCTTCATAAAAGGGTAAAAGGGCTTTTGAAATTTGAAGTATGGCGTTAATGAGCTTACATTTTTTTGTTATAGAAGCTAAGGGCCGTTAAATTTCGAGTATTGGCGTGAGAAAAATGCTTTTAAGAAAGCGAAATATCTGTGAACTCTTGCCACCCAAGATGGCGCACCCAAGATATGATACGTCCTATTGACAAAAGCCTACTATTAACGTTTTTAGCCAAGTCTTCCTCAAGGAGCATAATTAAGAGATGGCCGGAACTACGCCGAATGGCCAGAAACGCCGAATCTCCCCTCAAGGCCCTGTACGTTACACGGTGCAATTTTTCTTGCAACTTGCAATGCTCTTCTATAAGTATTCTTCTTGTCAAAGATATAACTTTGGCAACTACCGAACTTTTGTCATTATTACAATCCATAGAATTTCTTACATTTACATTTTGAAGCCCTTTCACTAATTTGCATTTCTTAAAAGTAAAATTGCATTGCAGTTTGCCAGAAAAATTGCACTGTGTAATATGGCCGTCACTCTATAAATGATAAAGGTTTTATAAATGTATTTATTATATTCATTTTGAAATCATTGGTGTTCTTGCAATTTCATTGGTTAAAAATAGTGTTAATAATTCCCAAATCGCACTATTTTTGAGCATTAATCACATCATTTATAAGCCAATAAGATTGAGGCCCTGCATCACAATAACCAATCAAATTTAATATTTCAGTGTAACTATCCAATCAAATTACAAGGGAAAATGGCACAAAATTTTATTATTTTGTATTTTTAAAGGCCCCGAAAAATTTCTTGACAAAAACGGATGAAAATTCCTCACATTTTACACCGTTTTCGGTTCTGTCCGCCAACAAATCGTTTTGAATTCGTTTACTTTTTTGTATGATTTTTGTATGATTCGGCGCGCGAATTTACCATCATCAAAAACTTGACATCCCTCAACATTCCTCTTACCAACCGACATATGCTGTTACACAACCACACGCTTGAGTGCGCGCAATCATTGCATTTTAGTGCTAAGTAATATTGTATTACACGCCCACTTAGCTATTTATAAGTGCTACCATAAGCTTTGACTTTACCGTGAGAAAAAATATCAAGAGATTTTTGCTTTATTACTTTCAAGGAAAAGTTATTCTCATTATAGGCTTGTTCTGACTATCATCGTATAGTTACTGACACTGATCCATATCTAGATTCCATTGCTGTTTCATTCGGTACAATTCAATTATTCAACAATCATACGTATAAAAGACGTGCTTTCAATTTATTTGTATACTGTTCAAATTGACGCGTCCCTTGACCTGTGATAAAGCAAGCATAGTTTTATTACAGCAGCAAAAATGTGTTTTTATATAGGTGTCAATAAGGTCATCTCGACTTAATTGTTGTGCGCGGTAGGTCGATTGAGTAATTAGGTAAACATGGTGTTTATGAAAAATTGCAGTACATACATACAGTAATTAAACAGTGGCGTAGCCAGCCTGACGATTTAGTCATGTAATGCAAATTTTTCTGTTATTATCATTATCCATTTCTTTAGAAATTCATTGTTTTCACAGTGGATGAACACCAAAATATTAGCATAGCATGACTAAATTTTCGGGCTGCATCGCTAACCCACTGTAATTGAATGGTTATTAATCAGGATGTATCAATTAATAATTTTGAGATATGGAAAGAATGTACAAGTCAGCGCATTTTAAACCTGCGTGTAATTGAAAGCAAAACGAAAGAATGTTCGTGAATTATAGGCTATAGCTATAGACTAGTCACACAGGCACCTCAGAACATTTAATAAAATAAAGATGATAATAAAGATTGTAAAAAGGGCGGTGACTGGGTGCGTACATAGCGATAGTGACGTTGTGATTAAAACGTCTAAACGTTTTCAGAGATTATAGAAAGCTTTGTCACAAAATGGCGAATGCCGTTTGTGCACTAAGTATTCGCCGAATTTGCATTCATTAAAAAAGGCAGCCTTGTTCTTAGTGAGTTTGTCAGTGTGTTTCTAGGCGGATGTTTCGTGTATTTACTACTTTTTAATAAATCGTACTTCTCCCAACTTCTTAAGCACTTTATTTAAAAATCCCTATGACGTGATAGTGATCCACCACATTTCAGGAAACATATCAAACAAGAACCAGTGCTTTACAAGCTTCGTTACTAAAAAGAATATGAAAGTAGCTACAATGGATATATCGACCGTGGCTGGGCCGCTTCATTGGCAGAATAGGTGTACATTCGTATATTCATGTTTACATACCGTAGGAACAATCGCTTCCGGCAAATCAGTCCGGCAAAAGACGAATATATACGAATATGCATCCTATCAACTAAGCTCCAGTTATGGCCCTGTTTTTAACTATGGTAAACTATACATAACTAAAACAACCGCTGACTGAACTTTGGTGGTCCACTTGATCAGTCGAAGCATCAAACAATTTTCGGCAAGAATTCTATACGGTTTTAAATGCTAATGCTTACCTAGGATTTCAAAGGTAGAGCGGTGCTGAGCCAAAGTTTCTGATTGGGAGATTAAAATTCCGAGCATTTCCCCGACAAGAAACGGTCAAACTGTTAATCAAATAAGCCGAACTAAATATTTTATTTGAGTAAGACCGACTTATATTCGAATATTGCATAATGAACCGCTCACCTCCCCAA